GATTTCCAGACAAAATTTTGACTTTTTCCCTGACCCTGAAGAATATACTGCTTGACTCCAAAAATTATTAGATACTCAAAAAAATGTTCTATTACATTTATTTACGAATTACTTCAAGTGTAAGATGATGATTTAAATACAAAAATATAAATAATTTATTAAATAATTGAATTTTTATCAAGAAATTTATAAAAAAATATTTAAAATAATTGAATTCTTTCGGTGAATTTTAAAAAAATTTTAAGAATAAATGTAATTTTCTAAAATTTTATTTAAAATCGTTGAAAAAATCAATTAAATTCAGCGATAAGTTTTGTTATTTATGAAAATAATTGAATTCTTGCATCCAATTTTATAAAAAAATTTGTTAAAGAATTGAATTCCTGCGAAGAATTTTATTTGTGAATATAATTGAATTCCGGAGAAAAATATTATTATTTATGATAATAATTAATTTGTTGTGCAGAATTTTATTAAAATTTTTTTAAATAATTAAATTTCTCAGAATTTTTTAAAATAATTTTAAAAATAATTCAATTCAATGGAGAAATTCCATTAAAAAATTGAAAATAATTCAATTCCATGGAGAAATTTTATGAAAAAATTGAAAATAATTGAAATCTGACGAGGGATTTTATTAAATTTTTTTTTAAATAATTAAATTCCTGTGAAAATGTTTATTTTTGAAAAGAATTGAATTCTTGGGAAGAATTTTATTAAAATTTTTTAAATAACTGAATTGCTTCGAAGAATTTTATTTTTTACGAAAATAATTGAATTGTTTCGATAATTTTTACAAACATTTTTGACAATAATTTGAATTACTAGGAAGAGTGTTATATTTTACGAAAATATTAAAATAAAAAATTTTATTATAATTTTTTTAATTTATAAAGAATTTTATGAAAATTTTTTAAATTCTTGACAAAAAATATTATTATTAATGAATTGATTTCTTCCGCAGAATTTTATTCAAATTTTTTTAAATAATTGAATTTTAAAGAACTATTTTTTTAAAATTCTCTGAATATATTTGAATTCTTTCGAGAAACTTCATTAAATAATTAAAAATAATTGAATTGGTGCGAAGAAATTTATTTAAAAATTGGTAAGTAATTGAATTCCTGTGAAATTTTAATAAAAATTTTGTTTAAATAATTGAATTCTTTTGAAAAATTTTATTAAAATGGCAGATATTAAAAGTAATGGAAATGAAAATTTTTAAAAATAATTGAAGTTTTGCCAAGAATATTTTATTTGATTGTTTGAAAACAATTGAATTTTAGAGAAGAATTTTATTAATTATAAAAATAATTGAAATTTTGACGAGAATTTTTATAAATTTTTTAACATAATTGAATTTATGCGAAGAAGTTTATTACTTTTGAAAATAATTGAATTTCTATAATCAGTTGTTCTTAAAATTTCTATTTAAAGTAATTAAAAATTGAAATTTTCTAAAATTTAATATTGAAACTTTTAAAGTTTATCTATTTATAAAGATTTTAAACGCAACTCTTTTGAAATCCAATTAATTTTGAAATTTTTAAGTAAAATTATTCATTAAATAATATCTAAGTAATAAATTTATGATAGTTCTTTAAGAATAAAGTTATTTAAAAATAAATTATTGTCAGCAATAAAAAAAATGAAGTTTTTTTTAGAATTCTTGACAATTTCATAGTTTATGAGGCAATAAAAAAAAACACCAAAATTCAGAATTTTCATATAAATTCTAAAAATTAAATTTTTTCCCGTACTTTTAATAAAAATCCCTGAATTTTCCCTGATTTCCTTCACCAATTCTAATTTCCCTGAATTCCCTGATGGCAACCCTGTAGAAATTTCAAGAAAAAAAAACAAGACTATCGAGTAACAAAAATAGATGTCAATACTATTTTTTATCAGATAAAAAAATTATGGGTCACAGAAAATTAATGCGAATGCATTATTCGATTAAATTCATCAGTATTCCCGATCTGGAAATTTTTTTTCACCCTCCCTTGTCTTTTTCTCCCTTTCCTATCTTTTGACTAGAAGGGAATTTCTAGAAACTTCTACATCGCTCCCTTTCACCCTTTGCAAAACTAAAGTAATTCCATTGTGAGTTTGTTGTTCAGGAGGAAAAGAGAATAAGAGAGAGAGAGAGAGAAGGAGATAAAATATCAGAATGAGAAGAGAGTGAGAAAGTTTGAGAGTACGTTGCTGGATCAATACGAGACAGTCTGGCTGCTTGGCCTGTTAAAGGGAGAGGGGGGGGGGGGTAGCAAGATGGCATGCGGAAGGAAAAGTACATTTCAAAAGGATTGAGTTGGTTAGGGTCTATTTTCAAGGACACGTGAATTTAACCCTTTCCCCCTTTCCTATTTTATACATTCATTACTACAATTTCTAAATTTGTACCTTCAGTAACAATTATTTAAAAAAAAATTTTTTTAAGGCAAAAAAGAAGAAACAAGCTAAAATCCATTTGCGCATGTTTCGAAGCGTTTTGGAAATTTTAACCAGAGAAAAATTCCGATTCGGCGCAAATGAAATTTACATGTATTTTGGGGTTAGAATTTTATTCTCAAAAACGTGTGACACTCAAATGGCTTGCGCAAAATCAGCTATCCGCGTTTTAATGATTCTGCGCGTATAAACGATCATGTATCGATTCACGCGCTCCGCTAACATTTTAAAACGAGCGCAGCACATCTTGATCCAATGCGTTGCATAACAATCAAATGAAATTCAATACTTTTCAGAAAAAGAAATTATTCTTAGGCTTCGCACTCTTATACTGTAAACGAATTCAATTATTTTCCCAAATAATAAAATTTTTAAGAGAATTCAATTATTTAAAAAAAACATTTCAATATAATTCTTCGCAAGATTTGAATTATTTTTTAAATAATAAAATACTTCTTAGGAATTCAATTACTTCTAAAAATTTCAATAAAATTCCTCACAAGAATTCAATTATTTTCCCGAATAATAAAATCTTCACGAGAATTCAATTATTTTCCCAAATAATAAAATCTTCACGAGATTTTAATTATTAAAAAAAATTGGAAGTAAAGTCTTCGCAAGAATTCAATTATTTTTGTAAATATTTAAGTGCTTCTCATAAATTCAATTACTATTAAAAATTTTAATAAAATTCTGTAAAAGAATTATTTTTCCAAATAATAAAATTTTTAAGAGAATTCAATTATTAAAAAAAAAATTTCAATATAATTCTTCGCAAGATTTCAATTATTTTTTAAATAATAAAATACTTCTTAGAAATTCAATTACTTCTAAAAAATTGAATAAAATTCTTCACAAGAACCAAATTTTCCCAAATAATACAATTTTTCGCAAAAATTCAATTATAAAAAGAAATTTTTAATAAAATTTTTCGCAAAAATTCAATTATTTTTGTATATAATAAAATGCTTCACAGAAATTCAATTACTTTACAAATTTTTATAAAATTCTGTAAAAGAATTCCATTATTTTCCCAAATAATAAAGTTTTCAAGAGAATTCAATTATAAAAAAAAAATTTGAATAAAATTCTTCGCAAGAATTCAATTATTTTTTTAAATAATAAAATACTTCTTAGGAATTCAATTACTTTTAAAAATTTCAATGAAATTCTTTGCAAAAATTCAATTATTTTCCCAAATAATAGAATTTTTACAAGAATTTAATTACTTAAAAATTCTTTAATAAAATTCTTCGCAAAAATCCAATTATTTTTAAAATGTTTGATAAAATTCTTTATAAGATACGAATTAAATTTTAAGCAATTTTAAATAATTGAATTTCAATTGAACTTTCTAATTTAAGAAATGATTCAAAAAGTAATTTGGGTTAAAATTTTAGATAATAATTGAATATTAAAAGCGTTATAGTACGAATTTTTAAAAATAATTAAATTTCAAAAGATTATTAAATTGAAATCGCTGAAAATTGTAATTGTTATAAAACTGTTTCTATAATAATTGAATTTTTACTTTAAAAAATTGTTAATTTATTGTATTCCTAAAAAATGATTAAAGTTCTAAATATTTTATTTAAAAATTTAACCAAATAAATGATTGAATTTTAGAAGAATCACACTTGCAATTTTCAGAAAGTTTTATTCATTTCTATTTAAATTAAATGGAAATTGAATTTCTATTCCACATAAAATATTTTAATTCTTTTGAAAAATAAATAAGTATTTAAATATTTATTTTTAAAAAATTGTTCAACTTTTGAATGTAATTTAATTTAGAAATTATGAAAAAATAGTCTTTTGAAGATAGTTAAATCCCTATTACAATTTAAATTTAATTTTGCATTTTTAAGAACTATGTTTCTTTACTTTTAAAAATTACTTTGAAATATAATTGTATTTTTCAAGAATTTAAAATTAAAATTTAGAAAATAATGGAATTTTGCAAAAATTTAAAATTGATATTATTAGCAGGTTAAGAATATGAGTAAATATTTTTGATCAAAATTAGGAATAATTCAGGGAAATTTATAAAATCTTTGTAAATCGTCTAAAACAGGGTTTTTTTGATCAAAAATATAGTAATATAAATAGAAAATTATTGATATTAAATAAAAACTTACCGCTTTTACTGCGAGATCACCTTCTGGTACGTTGAAGATAAACTCCATTTTCGATCGTATTATTCCTAAAATTTATTTAATCACACGCGATACTAGGAAAACAGAAAAAACTACCCTATAATTGATCACTAACAAAAAAACATCTTCGATCGCGATTTTAAATAAATTCGAACACTCCCGAAGTTAATGAAAACTAACACTAATTAAAGTAGTCCGCATATCGTACTGAGTAATCTGCATCTGAAACAAAAAAAATCAGTTATTAATTAGTATAGAATATTGAAATTTTTAGGCCAAATAAATTTAATTTATCTGTTGTCCCGTTAATAATTTTGAATAAATAAATAAACATAAAACATCTTTTTATTAATTAGTATAGACTATGATTTGGTTTTTCTTTCTTATTTTTAGGAGCGTTCCTCATCCCCTTTTTCATCATGCTCATATTGGAAGGTATACCTCTGTTCCTAATTGAATTGGGTCTCGGTCAAAAAATGCGACAAGGTTCTCTAGGCGTATGGAACACTGTACATCCATGGTTGGGAGGTATAGGAATGGCTGCATGTATCGTCACATTTTTCGTGGCGCTTTATTACAATGTAATCATCACCTGGTGCTTATACTATCTCTTTAACTCATTACAGGTAATCATTTTTGACACCCCTAACAAATTTTCTTGTCATAAACGAAAACTAATTTCTTTTTCTTATGTCTGCACCAGGCTGTGACGTATAAATTTGGTGTAAGTATTAAATTTCTCTACATTAGTGACATCTAAAAAAAAGGCTAACAAAAAAGCCTTTATGCTACATTAAAGAAAAATACCTTCTAGGCAAAAGACCATGCTTTTCTAAAAAACAATGTTCGTTTTTAGAACGTTTCATGTCCGACAAATAATATTTCAAAAATATTTTAAGAACATGGATTTGCCCAAAGGTTAGGATGTCTCTTTAAATAAAAAAAAATGATGAATTGTAATTTTACAGGAACCCTTATTATGGGCTTCCTGTCCAGAGATAAATGGAAAACCGGTCGAAGAATGTGCAAAGAGTTCGGAGACCGCTTATTTTTGGTATCGTGTTACACTTGATGCATCACCAACAATTGATGATGGCCAAGGATTAAAATGGTGGATAGTTATATGTTTACTAATCAGTTGGATAGTCGTATTTTGCATCGTTATGAAGGGAATACAATCGTCGGGCAAGGTATGTATAAAAATTTGACGTCTCTCATGCAATCATTTCACGAATGCAAGGAGTCGCCGAATTCTTTTCTCTTCCCAGCTTCCTTCAAGAGGCAATTTCATCCAACTTAATATTCGTCGTCATCGATTCGCAGGTGGTTTATTTCACCTCAATGTTTCCCTACTTGGTCCTCACAATATTCTTCATTCGAGGGATTACGTTAAAGGGCGCCGGAGCCGGATTGGCTCATATGTACACACCAAAGGTACTGTTCAAAAATCTACAAGCAATTATTTGTTACAACAATTTTGAACATTCTTCAATATTTAATTTTAATGGGGGAACAATGTTTTTTATTGTTGTACAGGTGGAAAAATTGTTGGAACCAAAAGTTTGGTTGGATGCTGCAACGCAGGTATTCTACAGTTTTGGTTTGGCATTCGGATCATTGATAGCTTTTGGAAGTTACAACACGGTGAATAATAATTGTGTCAGGGATGTATTGCTCGTGAGTTTCTGCAATGCTTTTACTGCAATTTACGCAAGCGTTGTTATTTTTGCAATCTTGGGTTTCAAGGCAATGAGCAATGTGGAAAAATGTCTCGAGGGGTAAGAATTTTAATAATGCCCTAGAGTAGAAATAAAATATGTTTGCAAGTAAAATAAGAAATAGAAATAAGAAAATGGAATAAAATAAGAAAATATTTTCAGTAACAAAAATCTACTAATCAACACTGGACTATTGAGTTCAAATTCATCGATTTCAATTCATTCGCCTGAATTCGAGAATGCTGTACAACATTTCAATTCATCGATGAATTTAAGTCTCGATGTTTGCGATTTGGGCGAGCAACTAAATAATGTAAGTGATAAAAAATTTGTTGCTTCTCAAAATTGTTCTAGAAAATTTACGATCGTTGTTTTAATAGGCCGCAGAAGGGACAGGTTTAGCATTCATTGTTTTCACCCAAGCCATAGTCGAACTTCCAGGTGCGCCATTTTGGTCCTGTATTTTTTTCCTAATGCTCCTTGCACTTGGTTTGGGATCACAAATCGGACTTTTAGAAGGAATGCTGTGCGTTATTTTTGAAATAGATCTTTTCAAAAGGGTCAAGAAGCAGTACATGACTGGTTAGTGTATACCGAATTGTCAACCAATGGATTTCTTTTACAAAACTGATACTAAACTAACAACAACAATTTTTAGGTGTTGTTTGCATCATCTGTTTCTTCGTGGGTCTAATATTCTGCACGGGAGCTGGAGAATATTGGCTAACAATGTTCGATAGTTTTGCAGGAACAATTGGTCTTGTTCTGGTCGCACTTATGGAAATGTTGGCCCTAATATTCGTCTACGGACATGAAAAGTAATTCTATTATTTCTATTAATTATATTAATAATTCTGAAATCATGTTTTCAATGAAAATTTATGATTTGTTAGATTCACTAAAGATATTGAGGAGATGACTGGCTACCGACCAGGATGGTACTGGCAGATAACATGGAGATTTTTGGCCCCAATAATCATGGTTGCCATTCTGATAGCTAGTGTTGTGCAAATGATCATGAATAAACCAAAATATCCAGCTTGGGTTGCTGCCTTGGTAAGAGAGCCAAATATTTATTCTATATTCTCCCTTACGAAAAATATCCTTCGAGTCAAAAAAAAAATCACAATTCATTTAAAATTGACATTTATTACAGGGCAAAACTGAATTAACGATCTATCCGGATTGGGTTCTCGCAATTGGAGTCGGAATCATTCTTTTAGGGATCGCGCCAATTCCTGTTGTTTTTCTCATGCGAAGGTTCCAATTAACGAAACTTGATGTCGACATTCATCATGGAAGTATTCGTCGAAACGACACCACAGTATCAACTAAAGAAATGATGGGTGATGTCGATGTAAGTATCAAATACGAAATTCGATTAATTATTTTAGCTTTATAAAATTATAACTATTATTTTTTATTACTATTATCTTCTATTATTTGTATTACTAATTTACTATATATTTAACTATATTAATTATATTAATCCAAAAGTTAATTTTTTTAAACACGCCAGAGTATATTTAGATAAATATTGTTCTGCATAGTTCATACTGCAATGGATTTTCAACTCTCAAAAAGAGTCACAAACCTTATTTTCTGTTCATTTTTTCAAATAGCAATTAATGTACTTTTAACAATGGATTCTGTTGCTAGTTGTAAATACACAAACACAGCTTTAAATTAATTTCCTTCTGTAATACACTTGAGCTTTTTGTTTTTGTAAAAAAAATGCTTTCTACAGGGCTCGAACTAGGTCCGTAAATCCCGTAAAGATTTGCTTAAAGTAAATTTGCTAAAAATCCGTAAAAGTCAGTTCTTTTTAAAAAAAGAAGATTTAAAGAAGAATTTTAATTAAAAATTCTTGAAAATAATAATTTAATTTCTTATTTTTTTTGTCAGTAATTGATCCGTAATTTTCCATTTTTGGTCCGTAAAGTCCGTATTTTTAAATACTTTCACTGGTTTGAGCCCTGTTTCTATGTTAACAAAAAAATTGTCTAACCAATTATATAGTGATCTTAATGAACCATACAGAGTATTCTCTAAAATTTACAAAAAAGAAAAGTAAAAGATAAAATTGAGTTGTTTATAATAATGAGAATCCAGTAGTTAGAATTTTTCAAATTCCAAAGGAATAAACATAAAATAATTAAATTTTGGGATATATAATAAATTGGCAATTATTAAAATTTCTATTACAATGTAATATTTACAATACCTAAATGTGATCTACAGATGTATGGGTAAGCAACCCCTGTCTGTGGTTAACGTCGGTATCCGCTTAGCTACCGTACATGTGAGTCGTTGTAGTTATTTTGAGAATGTTTAGATAAACTTCATGTTAGTTAGATTCAACATTGTATCAAGTGAAAAATTTTTATCCACACCGCTTTTTTCAAGTAATAAAATCAATTTAGAATCATGTACCACGTCAATCGATATCATACCATTCGTTTAGAATAAAATCCTACAACTCTTATAAATAACATTATAAGTGAATAATATTTTCACTTTATCTTTAAAAAAATGCTGCGCTCGTTACTTGGGGACCATTAAAAAAACGACTATTCCAACCTCTAATAAACGCGCGCAACATCCAAACAACTCATTCATAACTAACATTTCAAAGAACTGGATTTATCTATTAAAATAATTCAAGATTTATCTAGTAAACTATTCCATTCTTAACTTCCATCATTAACAATATTCGACAATTAACTTCCATTAACTTCCACCAAAAAAAAAACTAATAAAAATTAACATTTTAACATTCATTAAGATTTAAAGTACCATCTATTTAATTTAGTACAAAAATTTTTTCTCAAAATAAAAAAATTTCCTTCCACAGTTGGATGACTATCAAGATCGACTCGAAGACTTTCCTGAAGAAGATGAAAATATCGATAGTGACGATGATAATAATGCACCCCCTCGAATGAAAGATAGAGGTAAAGCTTTCGAAATGAAAGTTATTAACTTCTAACTTCCTAGCTCAATTTCTCGTACTTCCGATAAATTAAATACGAAAGAACGTGAGAATGAGAGAATTAATTTTTAGAAATTTAGAATGTGCGTCAAATTTTAATTAACAATTTAGTAAAAAAAAAAGAAGATGAATGGAATGTAAATGCGCGCGAAGTTTGCAGAACATTATCTCTATATTTATTTTAAATATTTATTATAACCCCCTTCCCCCCCTAGACTATACTAAAATGTAAAAAAAAACTATTATATTTATTTTTCAAATGAAAACAAAATATATTTTTTTAACTTGGTAAAAATTATGATTCGCAAAATAAACGAAAAGAAATAAAAATATTTTTTTTCTTCAAATTAACATTATTATTAGGTTTATTATTAACAATATTTCTTTTTATTATTAATATTATTATTATTATTATTATTGTAATTATTACCATAGTTTGATATATTATTTATTATCATATTTATTTATTTATGAAACTCAAATATTTATTTAGACGTATTTATTAACAGTTAATGTTAATATATTAACTTTATTAAAATAATTAGAATAAAAATAATTCTTAATTTATTCCTTTTTTTCATTTGCAAATTCTTTTTTTACCAAGAAATAAAAAGTTTATGTATACGTTCTGTATATCTGCAAGCTTTTGACAGGTTTAATGTCTAACTTCATCAACTATAAATTAAAATTTAATTATTGAGAGTGATTTTAATGGATGTTGATGAAATTAGAACTAAAGTTAGTTTTAAGCTTCTGTAAATTGTAAATTAGACAAACAAAAAAAGACGAAAATCAGATTTCGTTTAATGAGTAAACTAATTGAATGAGAATTAAACTGCCAATTAGGGATAGTTTTCGCTAAAAAAAAAAGATAAAGTAAAACAGAGAATGGGCAATAGTTTCCTAATAAATAGTATTATTAAAATTAAAACATTGCGTCAATGTGGTCTATATGCCTTTTGCGAAATTTTCGTACATAAAAATCAAATTTCATTATTTTCGATTCAAATTATTCTTTAGAAATTCATTTTAGACAGTAATTTTTTTAGAATATATTTTTTCTACTAAAAGTGAAGTAAATGAATAATATTTTTTCTAATTCGAGATTTTATTTTTCAAAATTTGTCGCTTGAATTGCATCTTTAAGTATTAAAAACAAATATTCGGTTACTTTGATTATTATAATTATTTCTCTCGATAGTAAAATATTAAAAATAAACGTTTCAGTACAGAAATAAAAAAACAGATTTTTTGCGTTCGCTTTAATTAATAATAAATATTTTATACTTTAATTTAAGTCGCATTAAATTAACAAAAAATTTAATTAATGAATTTCAATTTCCGATTTTTGAATCCAATTAAAAAAGTTTATTTCTAAATTCATTAAAATCATCAGAAATAATTATAAAAATAAATCAAAACGTCAGAAAATGAAATTATATCAGAAAAAAAGAAATTTTTGTTCGAATAGAGAGGGAAATGTGCTAAATTTTGTTTTTTGTAAAATAATTTGCTAATTACTTTTATCAATGTTTGTAATTTACAAAAAGTGCTATTTCTTTGTATAAGATTCGTCGAATATTGCGATAAAAAATATTCTATATATAAAAACAAAAATTCGGGATGACCAAAAGTTTAAAAAAAAGTTTTTCAACCTGAATGCGCAATTGTTACGTAAAGAAAAAAATAAAATGCATAATCATTTTTTAATGCAGAAAAATAAATATAAATCAAAGACTGTCTTATCGACTTAAAAAAAAACGTAGTTTTGCAAAACTTTTAAAATTTTTAGACACTATTTCACGAATTAAATTTAAAAAAAAATGAATTCTAGATATCGACTGCTATAAACTTTATTGACAAAGAATCTTTATTAGAGAATATAATCTAAACAAATAAAAAATGTAGAAGCAATATTTGCTATTTGTTTCTCAAAATAAAATATTTTTTTTGTATTAAAAAACTTTTGGAAAAAAATTATTCATCAAGAATTAAAAATACTATAACTTTTATCTAAATAATAATTTTTTTAATTTCTACCAAATATTTGGTTTTAAATAAAAAAAACTATCAATTGTTGAGTTTTTGATATTTTTAATTTTATCAGCACTGTGAATTTAATCAGATGTAAGAACACTAAAAAAATAATTTTCCAGATTTTTCCAAATTTTATGTCTTTTTCATGTTTTCAAGATAAATTTTTGTCTGAAATTATAATTAAATAACATAGTGGATCCAATTAGAAATTAGTAAAATTAATGTATTAATATTAGGTAATTAATATTAATAATCAATTTTATTAATTTATAATCTTGACAATTAATGTTATTAATTAATAAAAATAAAAATGAATTTGATTAATTAATAAAACTAATCATGAATTTTATTACTTTCAATGTAAGAAGAAAATCGTCACTAATTCGTAATTAATTTAAAAAAATAAAATTTACGAAATTTTGTCGCGTTCACTATTGGTCACCCGATCTTGTACTTGTAAATAATTATTATAAATTATAAGATAACCTATAATATAAAAATTAAGACCAATGAACTGTAAGCTACGATGTGATCCAAAATAAAACAGAAAAAGATGAAAAATTTATGCCGAGAGAGAAAGAAAAAGAAAGAGAGAGAGAGAGAGTTTAGTATATATTCTTCTGTTAAAGAGTCATAAAAAAGGAGTATTTAAAAAACAAAAAAAAAACAAATCTCTCAAAATATGCAGTTGGTCTTCTTTATCTGATAATTTTTCTCAATTGAAAACCACACAATTAAGAATTAAATAATTCGCGATAACAATTGACTGCGATTAATGTATAAATCTGATTAATTAATTGCTGCATTCAGTTAATTAAAGCTCAATTAGAAAATGAGATAATTACATCTAATTTACGTGATTATAATTGCAGACTAAACAGATCCAACTGTACATTTGCATAATTATAAAAAAGATCTGAATGGCAAAAAAAAAAATTTTAATTTTTGTTACAAATTTTCTTTTTTATCTCAATTGTGTTTTATTTTTCTTAAAATAAAAAAATGTTAAAGAAAAAAGAACACAATTTTTATTATTTTATATTATTATTAATAATATTTTAATTATTATCATATTATTTATTATTTACTATTTATTATTATTACACAATGTTAGAACAATTAATTTAAATAATTTGAATTTGTTTAAAATATTTATTTATTTAAATTATACTAAAAAAGAAGAATTTAGAATTCAAAGAGAATTTCATTTTTCCAACTTTTTTTTATATATGAAAATGTTAATGGTTCGAATGTTTTGTTATTTTCATTTTCAAAATACTCCAATAATTGTGATTGCTTCTTGCGGAAATGAAAAAGTTCAAAACTAAATAATATGTATAATGTAGGTAAATAAAAGCCACGTAAGATATTGCAAAACGGAATCGTGACGAGAGAAAAATATTATACACAATTTTTTTTTTCTAAAATTAATTGAAATTAAAAAAATAAAATAAAATTCTAATCATTCAAAAAAATTACTTTAATCTTTGCAATTTATATTAACAATTATTAACTTAAATTCAAAAATAGTCTTCTTTAAGTAAAACTTTAATTCGAAATTTTTTTTAATTATTAAATTATAAAATAAATTAAATAACTGAATATTTTATATGGAAAATATTTTTCAATAATTTTTTTTTTCTCTTATCTCGACGAATGTAAAAAAAGTAAGAAAAAAAGATTCCGATATTAACTAGAAAATGAAAGCGATCTTTATTTTTCTATAATTAATATGAGGAAAAATAAAGCGCAAACGAATGTTCCAAATCTCGTGTGTTCAATATCAAAATGAAATATTATACCACGTTTTCAAAATGATTAATGAAAAAAAAACATTTTTTTATTATAATATAATGTTTTTTTTACAGAAAAGAATATAAATATATATAAAAATATATATATTCGTTAAATGGTGAAGAAAAAAAAAAGTTAATTATAAAGCGTGGTTATATAATATTAAAGAGTATGTTGGATCCTCGAAGCTTAAATTTTCCGACGACTGATTTGTATTTTTTGCTTTAAAACAATAATTCTTCCCCTCCCCTTATATTTAAACTTGTAAATATATATAGAAAAAAAAATTTTTGCGGCTGACTAGAGAAAATATTTCAACAAAAAAAAAATTATAAAATTTATTTACATAATTACATAATTATAAATATTTAATTAATTCCATCAATTCTTGAAATTAATTACTTGCAAAAAAAAATTATAATTAATTTTTGAAAAAGGGAATTATCTCCATTGTTCTTGTAAAATTGTTTGTTATACATATTACTGTCAATTTTTTTTATAAGTTTCTTGTTTAATTAAACTAATTAAAAAACTCTCTTAATGTCTCTTATTTTTTATTTAAAAAAATTGATTTCTAAAAAGAGGTCATAAATTGAAACAAAAATTGAAAAAAGATGCAAAAACAATATAATTAAAAAAAAATAGAAAAATACATATTTTGGAATTTTAGTAAAAAAAAGTTTCTATATTATTTTGTAGTTGAAGTTTTTTCTTCGAAATTTGAATAGTACGAAAATTTAATTAGTAAATTAATATCAAAATTAATAACAAAATAAACATACAAGAAAAATGAATTCACAAGAAAAAATTTTAGAATAAAAAAAATGCTTAAAAAAGAATATAAAAAAAAAACTTCAACAGTGTGGGACTTTTTTTAATGCAAGGAATAGTAATAACTGATAAAAAAAAATGTCTTGCAATCATTTTCTAAAATGAATATTTTTTCTCCGAGCATAAAAAAGTAGTAAAATGATTTTTCAGATTCGAAACTTTTACAAATGAAAAAAATTTATCGTTATAAAAAATATTTTTTTTCTTTTAAATTGTTGACTTGTGAACTTTTCTATTTATTTAAAATTAAAATAGAAAAAAAATTAAATAAAATTCAAACTATAATACTGTCAAAAATTACTTTTTTCTCCTTTAAACTTGTAATTTGTTGTAAACTTTAAAAATTCTTCTCGATTAATTTATAATATAAGAAAAAAAAAGTGATACATAATAGGAGCGCAAAAAGGAACGTAAAATATATTTTAAATTGTAATAAAATCCCATGTGTAGTATTTCTATTGCGAACAAATTTACCAAATTTCTTTGAATGCGAGCAAAAATTTCTGGATTATAATTATAAATAAATATAACTCGTAATTATAAAAACCAAAAAAAATAGAAATAGATCGTTTTAAAAAGTATTGTATACAAGAATTGTAATTATTTAAATAAAAGCTTATTTATTGCCAAAGAACAATTTTTCCAGCCACATGAAAACTTTTACAAATAAATAAATGAATAAATAAATAAATGAATAAATAAATGAATAAATAAATGAATAAATAAATGAATCAATAAATGAGTAAATAAATGAATAAATAAATTAATAAATTAATGAATATATAAATGAATAAATAAATTAATAAATAAATAATTGTCAACCAATAATGAACGATAAAATTTCAAGGATAAAAATCTTCACATTGAAAAAGAATTTAATGACAAGAATTTAATTTTTTCATTTAAAAGGTTTTCTTTTTTTAAACATTTAAACTGATATCCCGCTCATTAAAAAGTCTTTTCGAACGAATAAGCATTTTGTATTTAAACTTTATCATCGAATTTTAGAATTTAAACATTTCAATTTATTCGCTTTTGAGAATAAATTATTAATTATTATTATTAATTATCTACGTTTCAACCATGTTTCAAAATGATTGTAAATTAACTTGAGCGCCAGGTTATTTTTAAATAAATTTTTATGCCCTGAAAAAAATTTTGCTTTTCTCCTTAAAACTTAAAATCGAATATTTAGATTTTTAATTTTTGGTATAATTGAAAGTAATCTTTAGCGGAAGGTTTAATAATTTTTAGTTTCTTTTTTTTTCAAATTTTATTTTAAAAAAATACCAAACAAAAGTATTACACTCGAGAGTGATAAAGTAAAGTAAAATAAAATAAAAATTACGAAAATAGAAAAATAAAATTTTCCCTTTTTTCTATTTTCCAAAAATGACTCGAGGAAAATTGGTGTTTTAAACCCTCCAATTATTATATAAAAAGAGAAAGGTGGGAAAGAAGTGACACTTTACGAATCGTATCAGTCAACGTTCGTTACACGAGGGTTGAGGTGCATAAAAAAATTTTTCCAACTCCGACCACAAAATTATTACATTCAAATTTTTCCATAGAAAATCATTTTCAAAAAAGAAATTATTATTACTATTATCTATAATTTTTTATTAGTTTTTATTTTATTATTTTGTAATTTACTAGTATTATTCAATTCATAATTTATTTTTAATATTATTCATCAACAAAAAACAAATTTAAAAAAGCATTAATTTACATTTTTAATAAAATTAGTAAAAATATTAATAAAGTATTAAAAAGACTATTAATAATAAAAAGAATATTAATAACAAAATTAACAATAAAAAATGTACTGTTATTATAAAGAAATTCACCGATTGAAAGTTCAATTTTAATATTTCAAGTAAAAGAATTTTTTTTTTTTTTTTTGAAGATATTAGAAATTTATAGTTGTATTTTTTTTCACTTATCGGTTCTTCAAATAAAAATACAATCACGTTTCTATGTATTAATAGTATTATGAAATCATTGTTTGAAACAAGTCATGACATAATGTCCAAGAAGTTGAAGACAAATGAATTATTAAATGTTGATGAAAACTTATTAAAAATGAAAATACCTAGTGACAGTGATGATGAAAAAAAATGTCCAATAGTCAATGAGAAGAAGAAGAAGAATAAGAGAAAGGAGGAATTTTTTGTTAAATATGGTGGTAAAAATTATGAAATTAGTGACTTTTTAAAAAAGCATCCAGGTGGTAGTAAAATTCTACAACCATTTAAGGGATTAAATTTAGATGTTGTTTTAACACAAATTCCCCATTCTGAAGCTGCTCTACATATTTTTCAAGAATTCATTGAGGAAAATAAAGACGACTATGATAGTATTGAGGTGAGTTTATCAACAACATTAATAATAATAATAATGAAAAATAAGTTTGAAATTGTATCTAAAAACAAATATCAATTGTCAACATAAATTATCTCTAAAGTTAATTGAAAATATTAAAAATTGTCAAAGTTAATTGATAATAAATTAATAATAAATTAACAATAGATTAATTACAATTAATAAAATAACTTTATAAATTAAATATCATTAAAATTAAAATACTACATTTTTTTGGGTGAATAATATAGTAATACAGTCAAACCTGTCGAAATGAAACTATTTTTAACATTTTTTTAAAATTTAAAAATGCCTAACAAGAATTATTTTCACTTAGTTGTAGAATATTGTAAAAATATTAGGTAAAAAATTAAATTATTAAAAAAAATTTTAACGATTGTTTACTGTAATAAAATGAAAAATCAAGTTGCGTTCCAACAGGTTTCAGTGTCATATAATAATAATTATAATAATTAATAATAATAACAATAATAAAAATAATAATTTTCTAGTACATTTTGTACGAAAGGACATTTTTAATTTCTTTTGAGCCCGTTTATTATTTAAATAAATAAATAGATAAATAAATAATAAAAAAAAATAATAATAATAATAATAATTTTATCCTTATTTTTATTAAAATATTAATTTAATATCAATTTTTTTGAATTATAACTTTCTTTAATTTTATTAAATATTTTTTTTTATTTCAATATTTTTAATATCTTTAAATATTAATTTCGAATTTAATAACAAAAGTATAAACATTTTATTTTATTCGTTATTATTGAACAAAAAGATCAGATTTAAAAATTAAAATTCATCAAATTGAAAATTTTCAAAACTAGTGTTAAATTATTTATTATAATAAAATATAATTTATTAAATTATAATTATTATTATTAAATATAAATTATTAAATATTAAATTAATTTTTATTATGAAATTATTTATTTTATTAAAATATAAATAATTGTACGTCTAAATAATTATTATTACTTTGAGGCTTCATTTTTTTAATAATATAATTATTACAATTAATAAAATTAATATTTTGCTATATTATTTATTCACTCGATAATGTTTCTATTGCTGATTAATTATTTTTTCCTTCTATTTTTTTTTGCTTACAATCAATATTCATTTGTTTTTTTTAACTTTGAGGGGAAAAAAATTAATTTTCTTAAAACATCAAAATTGATGTTCAATTGGAAAATTTTTAATCAAAATAGTATAAGGAATAAAATAAACTAGTTTTAATAATCAATTGATTAAATATTTATTATATGGAGTGTTATATGACACGCGTGTCGAATATTTTTTTTCCACTTTCACGGACAAACGCCGATGAATTGTTAATGGGGAGAAAAGTTTACTTTTATTTTTCCAAGTTACAAAAAACGTAATAAAACAGTGACACCTGAATAAATTGAGGTGAACATTCGCCCTTTAAAAAAAAAAAAAAAAAATAGAAAATTATGCCACGACACGAAACCATATTCAATAAATGAAATTAAAATCAAAATCAATATTTATTTTCAATATAGTAACAATTTACGAATTAAATTGAAATACTTTTATTTTATTTAAATAATAAATATTCAAAATTTATGCAATATTCTACTTATTATATCAAATTTTCAATGCCTTTATCTTTTTCAGAAAAAATAAATTTTTTTTTTTTTGTTTTTGGAAAAGAAATAAATTTATCCCTAACAATATTTCTGCATGTTAAATGCACAGTGTAAAATCCAATTATTAAAAAAAAAACTATTTCTCAATTTTAAATAAATATAAATATACCCCAAAATATAAATATTAATTTTGAACTAAAAAAGTTAATTTTTAATCAAAATAAATAATTTTTAATTAACAAAACCAAATTAATAATTAATTAATTACGTTGATAATTAATTAACGAAATTAGTAATAATTCAATTAAAATATTAATCAATTAATTGAATTAATAACTAATTAAATTAATAAATAATGAACTAAATTAATATTCAATTGAAACATTAATGCACGTCAAATGCAGTGTGTAAAATCCAATTAATAAAAAAAAACTGTTTCTCAGTTTTTAATAAATGTAAATAATATACAAAAATATAAATATTGAAATAAGATTTTATAAATAAGTAAAAAGTTAAAAAAAAATTAGTAAATATTTTCTCTTTACCTCCATTGATTTTTTTCGCATCTGCATCGATTGCGATCCTTGCCATAATATTATCAATAATTTAATTTACTTCATTTATATTTGAATCCTGAACACGAAGAATATTTCAATTTAGTAGTTAATTTAAACTCTTTTCTCACTTTTTTCATTAGGTTAAACTTTTAACAATAACAAAAAAAAGTTGTCGCGAGAAACCTAACCTCAAAATGTTAAATTTTACAAATACGCTCTAGAATAGCGACAAACGGATTGAATTTCTCTTTCCAACAACTTAATTCACAGAGACAGTCTCGATAAACTTTATTATTCAGTTGGATTTTATTAAGTTTTCACTATTTTTTCAGTTTTTATATCAATTGAGACTTTATTTACACTTTACTCGGCCAGCAATTATTGGCGCAATGAAAAAGGCGGGCAAGGCGGGTAACGGACTAAAAGGCGGAAATGACAAAAAAAAACCGGAAGTGAGAATACAGTCATCGAAACAACAGTTGTTAATGAAAATAAGAGGGGAATTCTATTCTAAATAATTATTTAACTAATTAGGCGAAATATAAAACTATCCTCTAAATAAACAATTTCTCACTATTTTCTAATTGTTCAAGAGAATTTTCCTTGGTGTTAAAATTTTTATAAAAAGTAAATGAAGTAATTTGACTGTACAATTACCGCGCATGCGCAGCTTAAATTTTTTTTTCCGCCATTTTCATGGCGGGAGTTTAATTCAAATTTAAAAATATAAGTTTTTTTTCTCGTTTTATTTAGTTATTATTATTTTTATTTTCTCGTTTTAGAGACTCATTGATTGGAACTCACCGATTTTTTGTCAAGTGGGCTCACTGGCTGACAACTATTGGAAATGGGTGAATCTACCAGTGAATCGATCGATTCGTCTTTTTCGGTCAAATTTTCTAGAAACTCTCACAGTTACACCATGGTTTCTTGTGCCAATTGTGTGGATACCAGTGTCGATTTATTATTTTTATCTCGGCTGCCTAACGAATAATTCTGGTCATTTGCGTAAGGAAACAAATTCATTAATTTCAATTTTAAATAAATAATTTTTAACTAAAAAAATTAATTTTTAAACAAACTAAATAATTTTTAATTAACAAAAACAAATTAATAATTAATTAATTACGTTAATAAATAATTAACGAAATTAGTAATAATTTAATTTAAATACTAATCAATTTAATTAAATAATAATTAATTAAAAAATAAATTTACTTAATAATAATATTCAATTTAAATACTTATTAATTAATAAAAATTATTAATAATTCAACTAAACTACTAAATAAATAATTAATTAAAAAAATTAATTAAAATACTAACGAATTAATTAAATTAATAATAATTCAATTACAATTTTAATTAATTAACTAAAATTATTAAAAATTCAATTAAAATACTAATTAATTAATTAACTTAATATTAATTAAATTAAAGTACAAATTAATTTAGTAAATTATTAATAATTCAGTTAGAATACTAAATAATTAAATTGAAAATTACTTAATTAAAATACTAATTAATTAACTAAATTAATAATAATTAAATTAAAATACCAATTAATAAAATAAATGATTAATAATTCAATTAAAATACTAAATAATTGAGTTTCAAATTACTTAATTTACATACTAATTAATTAACTAATTAAATAGTAATTCAATGAAAGTAATAAGTAATTAACTAAATTAATAATTTTTGAATTACTTCAAAATAGTTTTCAATTAGTTTAATTCTTTATAAATGAAATTAATTAAAAAGTTAATAAAATTTAATAAATATGTGAATAAAAATTATTTTGTTTTTTTATTAATAAAATTTAAATATATTTTCAGTTTATTTTTTACCGAAAATTTTCGTTGCCTTTTCCTGTGGATTATTGTTGTGGACTTTTATCGAATATAGTTTACATCGTAAATTATTTCACATGAAACCACCATCGAATTCTAAATTTCTCATTACAATGCATTTTATTTTACATGGAGTTCATCACAAGGTATTTTTTTTAATTATCTATATTTTTTTTTAATTTAATAATTAAAAATTTCTTAAAAATTGAATAATTTTCTTTTTATTGAAAATTTATTAATATTATTAGTAAAATATTTATTTTGTTTTTTTCTCTTTTATAATGGATTTCAATAAATTTTTTATTTTTAATTATTTATTTGCTTCTTTAATTTATTTTTTATTTGTATTTGTTCATTTATTTTAAATTTTTTAATATTAATTAATTTTTAACTATTTATTTACTTCTTTAATTTATTTTGTACATTTTATTATGAATGAATTTTTAATTATTTATTTACTTCCTTGATTTATTTTTCATTTTTATTTGTTTATGCAGTTTTAAATTTATTTTTTTAATATATAAATAGAAATAAGAAATGTTTTTTAATTATTTTCAAACTTACTGTAATTTTAATGTAAAAAGCTATTAAATATTTTCAATTAAAAATATTAATTACTTGTTTTATAAATAATTAATTATTATTAAATTATTAATTTATTAACTTATGATAATTTTTATGATTTTATATTATTATTATTGTGAATATTAATTTATAATTATCATTTTTTTAGGCACCTTTTGATAATCGAAGACTGGTTTTTCCACCTGTACCTGCTGCGATAATTACTTATATTTTATTTAATGTTTATAAATTATTATTTCCACAAATAATGATGCATTTCGTATTGTCCGGTGCATTGACAGGTTTGTTTCAAAAAAATATTATTTTTTCTGTGCATTTAAACAATAAGTAAAAAAAATTTTACATAAAAAGAAAAAAAGAAATAATAATTATTATTATTAATTTTCAATAGATGTAAATTAAATTTTTAAAAATAGAAAAAACAATAAAAAGAAAATTAAAAAGAAGAAAAACAAAAGTAAAAAAATTAAAATAATAATAATAATAATTCACTATTAAATATTACAGGATATTTATGTTACGATTTAATGCATTATTACTTGCATCACGGTTCTCCCAAGGCTGATACTTATCTCTATGATATGAAACGTTATCATAATTATCATCATTTTTCTCACCATGACATTGGTAATTATCTTATTGATTCTGTTTTGATAAAGTTTTTTTCAATCGAAATAAGAATTCTTATCTGACGCACAATTTTCCTCTATAAAGTTTTTTAATTTTTCTCCACTTTTTTTTTTTTTTTTGGTTTTTTGTTTAGGTTTTGGAATAAGCACAAAACTTTGGGATCATCTTTTTCACACTCTAATTCAACTTCGAAAACTGGCAAAATCAATTGAATGGTAAATAAAAGTTTTTGTTTTTTTTTTTACAAAAAATTATTTTATTTCAATTTTTTTAATAATGTATAGAAAAACATTCGTTTTTAAAAATTAATTTAAAATATATAGAATATAAAATAGAATAAAAATGCGTGTCATGCTTAGGACTTATATAAATAGAGAATATGATAAAAAATATTTAAGTAATTTGTAGTAAAAAAAAAAACTCTAAGCCAAAGCTTTTTCTTTTTGTAAATATAAAAATTTTTTTGTAATAAAATTACTTTTTAACAATGTATTCATTTTATGATTTAATTCCCCGACGTCAATAATATTAACAATATGCAACAAATATTTTCTTTTTAATTTAAATTTTTTAGTGGAAAAATTTGTAATTTTCCGAATTAGGTATTTTTTTTAGCAAAAGCTATATATAATTTTTGTATAAAAAAGAGAGTAACATTATGTTTATAAATAACATTATTAAGTACGTAAGAAAGGAACATAATTGTTGAGAGTGTATAAAAAATGCATTCAACAGAGGTAATTGTAAAAATTAATAAAATCTTGATTGAGATAAAAAAATCAATAACAATTAAAAATTATAGTTATTTTTTTAATATTAGTTTACTAATTAGTTTACCTATCACTTTACCAATAATCGATATAATTATCAATATTTGTCTCCGTAAATTTATCATTTAGAAAAAAATTAAGTACACTTTAAAATTGTCCCTTTTTTTGTAATAAAAAAAACTATGACCTCAAATTTTTTTGAATAGTTTTTAAATAAAAAAAAAAGTAGAGACTGTCACGTGAAGTGCTGCAATAATAGAATAAATAATAAAATAATAATTCAGTAAATTGAAAAAATAGAAAAAGTGGAATAATTACAATTTGAGATTCGGTCTCCATGGAAACAGAAAATAAATCAAATCACTGAGGAACCATCAAGTGGTTTCGGTTCGTGTATTCTTTCGTCCCATGCTTAATTGTGGGAATGTACTTTTATTTAGTGGCGGATTTAAACGTGACGATAGATAAATAAATGCCTCGTAAAGACTCGTCCTGTCAATAACATTAACTTCGAAATGTCGAATTTTTTCACGTGTACACCAATTAATTGCCTTAATCGCTGTATTTTCCAATGTCTGCGGTTCTGGCTCGTGTCGTGTTTTATTTCCAATCACAATTATCGTTATTTCCTTCTTGTCCTTATTTTTGTCAATGTCCTTTTTTAATGGCAATAAAACATCGAGAGACTCGGGTTTCGTTGTATCGTAAACTAAAATATAACCATCGGCAAATCCAAGATAATGCCTTGGCAATTGTTGATTATTTGTATTATTGTGCATTGGTTCCAATCCAGCTGTATCATAAAATCGTACATTCTCCTTTGTTCCACGATCGGATTCAATATTCGCAACGTAAATATCCTCAATTGTTGGATGAATTTCCTGTGTGAATTTTTAACAATTTAGTAATTATATTTTCGATTTTTCTATTAAGTTATTTTCATCAGGGTTGCCACAAAAAATTTATTTTCTTTTTCCCTGACTTTTTCCTGATTGTCAGAACAAATTTTGGACTTTTTCCCTAAGGAATATTCAAAATTGCTCTAAAAATGATTAGATACTCAAAAAAAAAAAAAAAATGTTCTGTTACATTTATTTACGAATTTCTTCAACTATAAAATTATTCAAAAACATCAATAACTTCTATTTTTGAATAAATATATAATCATTACTATATTTTTCCATAGGAATTAAGATTTTCAAAAATTTCCAACTAAAAACCTTTTTAAATTAACAACTTATAATAATTTAAATTGCCATAAAATTCAAATATTTTTAAAATCTACTATTTTAATAAAAATTCTCAAAAGAAATCAATTATTTAAAACAAATGTAATAAAATTCGTTTGCAAGAATTCAATTATTTTCACAAAAAATAAAATTCTTCACAGGATTTCAATTATTTAAAAAAAATGTAATGAAATTCGTTGTAAGAATTCAATTATTTTCATAAGTAATAAAATATTTCACAGGATTTCAATTATTTTTAAAAAATATAATAAAAATTCGTTGCAAGAATTCAATTATTTTCGAATAAATAGTAATATTCTTCACTGGATTTCAAGTATTTTTAATACAATTTAAACGAAATTCTTCGAAAAACATAATTAATAATTAATTCGGTTAAAATTGTATTAAAAATAATTGAAATTCTATGATGAGTTTTATTATTCATGAAAATAATTGAATTTCTGTCAAAAATGTTATTATTTATGAAAATAATTGAATTATTGCGAAGAAATTGATAAAAAATTTGTAAATAGTTGAATTCCTGTGAAATTTTTAATATTTATGAAAATAATTGAATTTTGGAGAAGAATTTTATTATTATTAAAGATAGTTGAAATTTTGACGAGCATTTTTTTTTAAATTGTTGAACATAATTAAATTTCTGGAAACATTTGTAACTTCTCTAAAATTCAATTTTTTTTTAGTGTTTTTAATTAAAATTCTTCTATAAATCCATAATTTTTAATAATTAATTTTCCTTTGCTTTTCTCTGAATTCCCTGATGTCCCTGACCTTTGGCAACCCTGGAAATTTTCATTTAATTGATTTGAATTTGTCAGTATAACTTAAAAACTTGACTTGACATTTAAAATCTTTAAAATTAATAAAAAAGAATAAAGATGCAAATAAATAATGAGAAACATAACCTATAAACTTACAGTTTTCGAATTAACATTTCCATAAATGAGTTGCTCTAAAAGGGCAGTTTTTCCTACTCCTTTCATTCCACAAACAACGACTCGTGTCGTTTTTCCCATTATATCGTGTTTATTTCATAAATTTTAAGTAATTACATTAATGAAAGCCAAAATTGATTACTTTGCAAAAGGTAGAGCGCAGGGGGCACAAAACCTGGATTAAAATTGTCGCCATCATCTCTAGATCTTCAGAATGACAATAATCAATTTCCTCTGATATTTTAATCACTATATTGAAAATTTAAAACTAAATTATCCATTTGTTTAAAGTAGAAAAACAAACATTGTTTGACAGCTGTCAAATTGTCCACCACGTTTCATTCGAAAAGCGACATCTGCATCAATCTATACATTTTTCCGTAACTAAAATAACGTCAACGTGTCCGGGTTTTTTAAAAACAATTCGTATTTTTAATTTCTCCTTTTTTAATATTATAATTTGAGTGTTTTTATAACAAAACATTGCGTAAATAAAATATTCATTGTTATTTTAATTGTATATATTGTTTATATAAGATAAGTAATTATTTTAACGGATTTTAATATCATTTTCAACATTATTTACAATAACGTAAACAAATAAACAGAAAATCGTCAAAATGAGTGACGAACAAAATGATAAACAATTAAAAGTCGAAAACAAATACTCCATTTTACTTCCAACTTACAATGAAATTGAAAATTTGCCAATAATCGTCTGGCTTATTGTTCAGAATTTAAACAAATGGTGAGTAAACATAACCTCAAAATGTATTGTTTTGTTTTTGTTTGCAAATTTTTATGAATTTCTTTCACTTTAATTTATCTACCTACTCAATTTTGTTTATCTTGGTGGAATTATTATTTTCTTTAAGTAATTAACAAAAGACATAAAATGATTAAATCGATTTAATATTTTTTCTATTTCTTTCTTAATTTATTTTTTTCGACTGTTACATTATTGTTTATTACTTTATTTTCCTTTAAACTCATACTTGAAGTAATTAGTAAATTTCGATAATTATATTAATTAACTGTATTCATTTTATAATTAATAATTCTGTAATAAATTCTTATTATTTATTTTCCGCAATAAAAGTAAATAATAAATTGATTTTTGACAATCGAAAAGTTTCAATACAGAAAAATTAAAATAAAAAAAAAAAATTGTCTAATTTTTAGTGATTTTGATTATGAAATAATTATAATCGATGATGGCTCACCCGATGGCACATTGGAAATGGCCCAGCAATTACAAATACTTTATGGAAAGGAGAAAATTGTTCTCAGGCCAAGGGAAAAAAAACTCGGTCTTGGCACCGCTTATCTTCATGGCATTAAACACGCAACTGGAAATTTTATTATAATTATGGATGCAGATTTGTCGCATCACGTAAACATTTTTCAATTCCTTTTTCTATAATTTCTTTTTTATATAGAAAATAATATAATTTTTCTGAAAAAAAATTAAAAAGAAAAGGGGGAGAATTTTTATTAAACATTTTAAAATTTTCAGCCAAAATTTATTACCGAAATGATTAAAAAACAACAGGAATTTAATTACGATGTAGTTACCGGAACAAGATACGCTGGAGATGGTGGTGTTTACGGTTGGGATTTTACAAGGAAATTAATAAGTTGCGGTGCCAATTTTTTAACACAGTTTTTATTGAGACCTGGTGTCAGTGACCTTACTGGAAGTTTCAGGTTTGTAGAAATTACTTTGATAGTTTCATTAAGTTTTTTAATTATTAATTCATTTAGAAATTAATTATCTTAATTAATTTAGAAATATATCTTCTTTTTCTATATTAATAATCGTCGATTTCCAATAATCTGTTCGCAGTTTAAATTTAGTTGTTTTTGTTTGTACTTTTATTTCCTAATTTTTTTTATCATTTTTATTTTGAACTGTTTTCAATTTTTTAATTAATTAAATTCTAATTTAATGCTTTGAAGATTAAAGAATTAATTAAACAAAATTGTTTTTAATTAAAAATCATAATTTAATTTAATGTTGAACTGTTTCAAAGAATTTTATTACAAAGCTTTTGAAAATAATTAAATACTTTCAAGGAATTTAATAAAAATTGCACTGAAATTAATTGAATTCTTCTTAGAAATTTTATCAAAATTTTTGAAAATAATTTAATTTGTCCAAAGATTTTTATAACTTATGAAAATAATTAAATTCATTCGAGATATTTTATTAAAATTGTTTTAAAAATAATTGAAATCCTGCGAAGAACTTTATTATTTATGAAAATAATAGACTAAAAAATAATAAAAACAACAATAAAATCCAAATTTATACAAAAAAATTAAATTCTTTCTAGGAATTTAAATAAAATTCCTTAAGTTTATTCAATTCCACCAGGAAATTTTACTGAAATTATATTGAAAATAATTAAATTCCTCCGAAGAATTCTATTATTTATGAAAATAATTGATTTCTCTGAAAAAATTTTGTTAAAATTGTACTAAAAGTAATTGAATTGCTCCGTAAGATTTTTATAATTAATGAAAATAATTCAATTATTTTGAAGAATTTTAGTAAATTTTTTGAAAATAATTTAATTGTTTCGAAGAATTTTATAAATTTTTTTTTAAAAATAATTGTTATTGAATTTTTTAAAGAAATTGTATTAAAATTTTTAAAAATAATTGAAATCTTTCGAATAATTTAATTAAAATTGTATTGAAAATAATAATTGAATTCCTGCGAAGTATTTTATTGTTTATGAAAATAATAGAATAAAAAATAGTAAAATTCATAAAAATACAAATTTTATTTGTTTAGAAGAAAATTTCAATTCTTTCGAGGAACTTAATTAAAATTAAATTCAAACATTCGTTAAAAAAAAATTTTAACATTCATTAATTAAAATTGTCCTGAAAATAATTTAATTTCTAAAGAATTGTATCCAAATTTTTTAGAATAATTCAATTCTTTTAGTTTTATTAAACTTTTTAAAAATAATAATTGAATGTGAAAAAAACATGTTATTCTTCCCAAAAATTTAGTTTAATTTCTATTGAAAATAATTCAATTCTTATAAAGAATTGAATCCAAACTTTTGAAAATAATTGAATACATTCAAAGAATTTTAATAAATTTTTTAAAAATAATTGAATTCCATCAAGAAATTCTACTGAAATTATATCGAAAATAATTAAATTCCTCCGAAGAATTTTATTATTTATTAAAATAATTGATTCCTCTGAAAAAATTGTATTTAATTTGTACTAAAAATAATTGAATTGCTCCAGAAGATTTTTATAATTATTAATGAAAATAATTAAATTCTTGAGACGAATTTTGTTAAAACTTTTGAAAATAATTGAATTGTTTCGAAGAATTTTATCAAATTCTTTTGAGCATAATTGAATTGTTAGAAAAATTTTATTAAAATTTTTTTTAAATAATTGAAATTTTTCGAGAAATTAAATTAAAAATTGTATTAAAAATAATAATTGACTTTCTGTGAAGTATTTATTTATGACAATAATGGAATAAAAAATAGTAAAATTCATAAAAATACAAATTTAATTTTTTAGATGAAAATTTAAATTCTTTCGAGGAATTAAATTAAAATGGTCCTGAAAATAATTGAATTGTTATAAATTATTGTATCAAAATTTTTGAAAATAATTTAATACTTTCGCCAAATTTTATGAAACTTTGTAAAAATAGTGGAATTCTTATGAGGAATTTTATTTAAATTTGATTAAAGGTAGTTAAAATCTTGTAAAGAATTATATTGTTTATAAAAATAATTGAATTCTTGCGAAGAATTTTATTGAGATTTTTGAAAATTATTGAATTGTTTCAAAGAATTTTATTAATATTTTAGAAATTAATAAATAATAGTAATAATTAAGTAGTTAATTAGTTAATAAGTGGATTTTTTGAAATTTTGGATCAGAAATCATTTAAAAATTGAAATTTGAAGATTTACTTTGAAATTTATATTATTAATGAATTATTCAGTAATTTTAATAATTTAGTTTATTAATTAATTTCTATATTATTTATAATAATTTACTGTATACTTTCACCTAATATTATAATTTTTACGTTTAAAAATTGATTTCTTACTGAAGAATTTGATTTTATTTAAAAAAAAAATCTTATTTTAATCTATTTTATTCTATCCTAAAGTCAATTTTTTTTCGCAGACTCTATAAAAAGGAAGTTCTGGAGAAACTGACTCAATCATGTGTCTCGAAGGGCTACGTGTTTCAAATGGAAATGATGGTTAAAGCACGACAATTTGGATTCACAATTGGCGAAGTGCCAATAACATTTGTCGATCGTGTTTATGGAGAATCAAAATTAGGAGGCTCCGAAATTATTCAATTTGTCCGAGGACTTTTATATTTATTTTTCTCTTCGCTTACACAGTGAAAATTGACTGACAAAGAAACATTCCTCCATTTATATGCCACATTAATAATAAATTCATTTTTACCACTCAAAATGTCACAAGTTTTTCAAAAAAGGAAAAAGAAATCTGAAAAGACATTTCGAAGTAATTACGAAAATTACAATTCACAATTTAAAAATCAATCGAATTAAAAGAAATATATGTTGAAGAATCGAAAGAAAAGAAAAACTGAAAATTTTCTCAAAGAAACGAAAGAATTTTAAAATCGAAAAAAATGGTAAATTTTGAACTAGAGGAAAAATTTGAATTATAAATATGGATTTAAATTGAAGGCAAGAAATTTTGAGAAAATGTACACGTGTGATTCGAGATACACGTGGATGGCGCTGTCTGTTTATAATCGTTTGATTCGCGTTCACCAACGTTGCAAACTCGGCTTTTATTGATCCATTGCTAAAAATTGTCGTCTATATTTTGACGCGCGCAGACGGCACTGCCCTTTTGGCAATATCCGTCAACATTATCTTCTGTGGGGTGCTTAATAAAAACTGAGAGCACGTCTGGAGTGAGAGAAATTGCTACCTAATCGCCTCCTCTTCATTTCCCCCCTCTCAAACTTTCAAGAAACACACATGTGACCCACAAAAGGATGAGAGAGAGGAAAAAAAATTACCCTCGTTTACAGAACTTATAAATCGCCAAGCCCAAAAAGTATCGACTCTGAACCAACCCCCTTTTTTTAATATCACACGGAATTTCTAATTCCTAACGTGATTATATTTTTAATGTTAATTCCTCAAAAAAAAGTTTATTCGTCTTTAGAAAGAAATATTTCAAATTTTAATATTTACAAATTTGGTATTTCAAATATCGTTTTTTATTAATTAAGAAAATGTTTAAATTAACGATCGTTTAGTTTGGTCGTTTTTTATTGTTTTCTTTATTTATTTTTCGATTTTCGAATATTTTATATTTTATACTTTCTTTATTTTTGTTTTCTTCACTTATTTTCCTTTATTCTCTATTCGTCCCTTTTATTGTTAATTGCAATTTTTGAAATGAGAATTATTTTTGAAAAATTGCTTTCTTTATTTTCCCTTTTTCTCTATTTATTTATTTCTTTTTTTTTATTGTCCCGAATTGCAATTTTCGAAAAGTCAATTATTTCAAGAATGAAAATTCAATTTTCGCAAAATACAAAAAGCGAAACTATTTCTTTTTTCTCTAATTTAAAGACTTGAAATTAGCTTTTTTTCTGGAATTAAGTATTATTAACAATGGGAGAAATTAAAGAAAAGAATTTTTTTTCTAAATAAAAATTAAAGGCAATTTAGAACTGCGCAATGATAGATCGAAGTTCCGGCATCAAGTTCAGTTTTGCCCCAAGCTTCGTGGCGAGTGCACACGTTCGAAGCTTTGCAAGCTCACGCGCAAAGAGCTTTCAAATGGCTGTGCCTTTCAAGTTTGACATTTCCGTTAGTTTCATCCTGTCTTCGTCGTCGTGAATCTAAGAGAGGAATAAAAAATAATTTCCATTTCGTCCTATTGTTGGGGGGGTTTTTTGGGGGCAAATTATTCAGCATGCCTAGAAAAATTGGATTCAATGTTGTACATGCCACGAGTAAGATTGAAATTCCCAATAATTCATCTCATTTAAAATTTATGCAAAAAAATTAACCTCTTGTTCTTGTTTTTCTCTCGGTTTTTCGCGAAAATGAAAAATTTGCAAAAAAGAAAATTTGAAAATTTTATTGCAGAGAAAAGAATACTTTTTCTTTATATACTTTTTTCGGATCTTTCGAATTTTGAAAATCAGTTTTTTATTTAATAAATGTTACGAAAGAAATTGTAAATCGTAAAAATGTACATTTGAAAATTTTTATTGATCGTCTTTTATTTTCAACTTTAATTTTTTTATTGATGAAATTCTAATTTTCATTTTTTAAAAATTAAATTTTTTTTTTAAATCTAAATTAGTAGAGACGCAAAATTAAATTACTAACAAAATTAGTAGTTAAATAAATAGTAAAAATAAATACTAAAAAATTGAATAGTAAAATAAATAGTAAAAAAAAATTAGTCAACGAAATTTATTTAAAAAAATCACTAATTACAATAATACGAAAAATATAATTAGAAATTAATTTCAAAATTTTCTCTTCAATTGAGAACTGAAAATTAAAAGAAAAAATATTCCCTTTCTACTAATTAATAATTTTTCATTTACAATTACTGGATTTTTTTTAATCAATTTCGTTTACTAATTTTTTTACTACTAATTTAAAAAATCAATTTTTTTCAAAAAAGCTAATAATTTGAATTAATTTGAACGTGAAATCGAAATTATTAAATATAATAAACGTATTTGGCAAAGTTTTATACAATTAATGAGTTCAGTGCCAGGTGGCACTTATGGATTTATTGAAACCTTGGCACAAAATCTGATAATAATTAAACTTAAAAGAAAAAAATAAAGAAATCAAAGTAAACGTCTCAATTACGAAGAAATAAACTTTAGCAATTATTTTTTCTTGATTAGAAAAAAATAAATGAAATTAATTATTTTCATTTCCAAATTTTTTTTTAGGTGAAGAGGAACGACACTCGTCGTTGGAATTAAATATCCATGGACCAACAGTTCGTGGATGGCAAAGTGCGAGAAAATGTTCTTATCCTCAGGAACTTATTCTTCGTCTTCATGGACCTGCGAAACTAACAAGAATACAAGTTTTGGTTCATCAATATTTAATTCGTGAGTTGACATTTACTTTTTTGTTAATTATTCACCATTTGTAGGGAATAATTTCTTTTATTTATTTTTTAAAAATTTAATTTGTTATTAAATTCATTTTAATTTTTAAAGAAAAAGTCCTTTTTTAACTAAATCAGTTTTGGAGAAGCGATTTTACGTAAAATAATCGATATTTTTGGTTTTATTTTGTTTTATTTATTTTTATTCGCTTTCATCATTTTTTTAATTTTCTTTATTTTATTCACTTTCTTTATTTTTACTCACTTTCTTTATTTTATTCCTTTTTTCCATTTTATTTTCTTAAATTCATTTTTATTTTATTTTAATTTAAATCATTTTCTATATTTTATTTATTTTTATTTACTATTTGTTTCGTTTTTTGCATTATTTTGCTCCGCTTAATTTACAAATTTAATTACTTCTTGAAATTTAGTTTAATTAAAAAAACAATGTTCACAGCTCAAAAATTGGAAATTTGGTCCTCGAGAGAAAATAGTTCGTCGTCGAGGGATTTCGATTATTTGGGATATATCACACTTTCGGATAATGCATCGACAATGTATAAAAGTAGAGAATTAAAAAGTGTCGCACTTCCGGAAACTGAGGCCGTCTCGCTTAAATTTAAACTCCATAAGCCGCATAGTAATTCACATAATATTCACGAGCAGGTAAAATTTTCAGCAGAAAAGAAAAATTATTATTTTAATTATTATTAGAAGAATAGAGAATAAAATAGAGTATAGAAAAATAAAAAGAAATCCTCATAGAATATAAATTAAAGGAATAAATTTTTGTGAATGTAAATAATTATCACAATATTTTTGATAATTCTTTTTTTCTTTATTTTTCGAAGGTGGGACTCATCGCTATCAATATATTGGGTGAACCATTTGGTCAGGAATTAAGTGGCCAAGGAGATGCTCCATATAATCCTCATTATACTTCGCCCTATGACGATTTGGCATTCGAAATGTACGTCGATCGCGAAGCTGCCAATATTATTCGAAAAATGGAGGCAAAAAAGCTTCAAGCCGTTGAGGGTAATATTTGCTTACGTTCCATTTTTTTTTATTTCAACATTTCAGAGAAAATAAAGTGGAAAAATATTATCATAGAAAATATCAGTGAAAAATATTTTTGTAGAAAATAATATAAGAAAAATATTACCATTGAAAATAATATTAAAAAAGAAATATAAAAGAAAGCATAAAATTAAAGAAATACTTTTAAATATGAAGAATTATAAATTGTAATTTAAAAAGTAAAAAACTAAAATAAAAGTTGAAATGAAAAATGAAAAAATAAATTTTAACAGTTGAAAAATAAGAAAATAGTTACGATAAAAATAAAAATAGTAGAAAAGTAAAATTGCGAGAAAAAATGTTTAAATTTTCGTTAGGAATTTAATTTGCATTTCTTTACAGAGGAGAGATTTGAATATGCATCGAAATTGAAGGTAGCGATGGAAAATTTACGAAAAGCTGGCGAAAGACTGGGAAAATATGAATTGGAGAAAAAATATGCGATAGCGCTTGAAGATTATGACAGAGCAAAGGCAAAAAAGGGACAAGCACAAAAATATCGTCAACAAGTTTACGAAACTCTGGAAGTCGAAGACTTACTCGAAGTCAATGGAGTACGTCTTTTTTTTATTTTAATAGCATTTTTTAAACCTTTTTTTCCACACAGTTTAATAATTCCATAAAATTAATTTTCGTCTATAATTTCCTTCTCTATTAAGTTTTATTATTTTTCTATTTTTACTAAGAAATATTTCAAAGAATATTTTCCTACAAAAAATTATTTTCTTTTTCTATTCAGAAATATTCCAAAGAATATTTTCCCACATAAAAATGAATTGATAATGAATTACAATTATGATTCATTAAAAATTAATTTTTTTGTGATCCATATTATTTTCTTTTTCTATTCAGAAATATTCCAAAGAATATTTTTCGCAAAAGAAAATTAATTGGCAATGAATTGTAATTGTCTGTGAATTTTTCTAGCCACTGGAAAAAAATAATCTCTCGATAGTTGAAGAGAAGGAAACAATTCCCTTGGAACTTTATGGGACGGGAGCAATTTCCGGATCGGACGATACAAATGCCTTGTCTAGATTGACAATTCCTCCAAATCGTGAGGGAACAATTTCACCTACCGGTCCTCCACATTCGCAGCCAATTTCTCCGTTACGACAAAAAAATCAAAGTCCAGGTACATTTTAGTTTCTCTTATTGCATAAATAGTTAAATAATAAAAAAAAATACTCTTAACAAAAAAAATTAAGTCTAGAAAACGAGGAAAGTATAATTTTATTATTTATTTTTCAGACGTCACAGAAAGTCCGCCAAATGGTGTTTTGGAAAGACAACGAGATTATAAGGGTTCCCTCCAAAGGAGAAAAATAAAGTCGGCCGGACCGGCTCTTAGATCAAGCTATGAGGCTTATGAGGAAAGAACAATTCCTGCTTTGAGACAGTAAGAAATTTAATTTTCAATTCTAATAATAAAGAAAATCTGAAAATTTTAAATATTGAAAAGTATTTTTAACTATTTCTTTTATTTCGAATTCAATTTTTTAAAAAATACAAATTTAAAGTATTAAAATAATTACTTTTTTTATATAAAATATGAAAATAAATATATTTTTGTATTTCAAATATTTTAAATATTTTAAATATTTTAAAAATTGAAAAATATCCACAAATATTTTCTATTTTTGTACTGAATTACATTTCTTTCTTCTTTTTGATTTTCAATCATTTTCATATTTAGAATTTATAAAAATTCAAATTTTATTCAAAATTATTTTCTTTTGGGTTTTCAACTATTTTTTTATTTAGAATTTAATTTTTTTTAAAATCCAAAGTTTATTATTAATTAAAAAGTACAAAACAATAAGAAAAGTAAATTTTAAGAAGCAATAAAACAAATGAAAACAAAATAATTTACCTACGTAAAATTATTTTTTTTCAGTTCGCACACAAACGAATTTACAAGGGAATGTCATACGGACGGCGGAGAAACGAAAATTCCATCAAAACTCAATGATAGAGAGAAAAAACAAGCAGCTTTACCAATAGCCGTTTTCGGAATGGATATGGTACTAATATTCTTTTCTTAAAATAAATTATTAACAGTTACTTCAATACTTTTCGAATTATTTTCGAATCTTTGATTCTAATTTGTCTATTAAAATTAATAAAATTGAAATTAAATATTAAAATATATTTTATTGGTCTTTTTTTCAAATCTTTTCTAATTTGTTTATTAAAATCGAAAAATGTATTTTTATTCCAGGTGGAAAAATTTTATTCGAAACAATTTACGGACAAGGAGGAAGGACTGATGTTACTAAAGCAAGAATTAAAAGATTTTGATCTTGCAACGTCGAAAAATTCCGCCAATAAAACAGCGAGGGCGGCAATTTTACTCTTGCATCGAGCACTTAGGGACAAAGTATTTAGTGTTTACAGTTTAGCCGCACAACTAATCAGAATATTTTTCTCTGAATTCGCCACGAATCGGTAAAATAATTTCTATTTATCATTATATTTGAAAATTATTATTTTATTTATTATTAATACTAAAACTTCGAGTTTAGAGAAATAAATTTTATTTCTAATTTTTTACTCGAATTTATGCATTTTTTAATTATATAATTTTCGAAGAATTTTATTCATTATGAAAATAATTCAATTCTCATAAATGATTTTATTACAATCCTTTGAAACAATTAAATTATTGGGAAGAATTTTATAAATTATGAAAATAATTAAAATCTTGCTAAGAATTTAATTAAAAGTTTAGAAAATAATTGAATTTAATTAAAATTTTAAAAAGTAATTGAATTTAATTAAATAGTTTCAGAATTTAATTAAAATTGTATTGAAAATATTTCAATTCTCATAAACAATTTAATAAAAAAAATTTAAATTACGTATTTAAATTTTTGAGAAGAATTTTATCAAATTTTTAAAAATAATTGAATTCCTTTGAGAAATTTTATTGAAATTATATTGGAAATAATTGAAATCCCACAAAGAATTTTATTAAAGTTATTGAAAACAATAAATAATTTTAATCATTTAGTAAATTTGTTTTTCTTTTTAAATATTTTCAATTTTAAAATTAATGTATTGAAAATCAAGGAATTGGTGGAAAGAATTTTATCACAAAATTAAATAATAATAGAATTTCTTCGAAGAATTTTATTATTTAGGAAAATAATTAAATTCTCGTGAAGAATTTTATTAAAATTTTTGAAAATTGTAATTAAATTCTTTTTGAAGAATTTCTTTTTTTTAAATAATGGAGTTTCTTTAATAATTTTAATTAAACATTTTTAAATAATTGAATTCTTTTCAAAAATTTTATAACGAATTAAGAAAAAAATTGAATTCTTTCGTGAAATTATTTTGAATATAATTGAATTTTTGCAAAGAATTTTACTATTTATAAATACATTTGAATTGCTTCGAAGGATTTATTTAAATTGTAGAAAATAATTTAATTTTTTCGATAAATATTATTAAAATTTTTTTAAAAATTGAATTCTTTCATGAAATTTTAGAATTTTAGAAAATAATTGAATTCTTTTGAATTCTTTCGTGAAATTTTATTGAAAATAATTGAATTTTAGCAAAAATTTTATAACGAAATAAGAAAAAAATTGAATTCTTGACAAGAATTTTGTTAAATTTTTGAAATTAATAAACAAGAATAATTAATTAGTAAATTAGTTAATAATTACATTTTTTAAAAGTTTAAATCTAGTGAAATAAATATTAATGTGTTTAAATTAAATTGTTTTTAATTAAAATTTAATTTTATTTGCAGAGTTTCTTCGACTGAAATCGCTAGAAGTGTGGATCGATTATTACCGGAATTGCTGACAAAATCGGGCGATACAACGCCGCGAATTCATAATATGGCAGTTCATACAATATTAAGTATGGCCGATTGTCAATGTGTTCGTGATTTGCATATTATTCCAGTTCATTTAACGCGAACTGTGAGTAGCAGCACTCATCAGAGACTGGCACTCAGCAGACTCGAAATGGTCGAACAACTTATTCTTAATCATGGAATTTCCACTGACAAACAAAGGTGATACAAATAAGTGCCATTTTTCCATAATCGAAAAATGAATTTCCAAAGTGGTTTGAAAAATTACGGAGAAATTTATAATTCTAGATACAAATTGCAATGAAAAAAATTATTCGAATTATTATTATTTAATAATAATCCAGATATTCTCTCCCCACTTGAGGATAATCAAATTTCCAAAAATACTTTAAAAAAAAATTGAAAGAATTTTAAATGTTGTCAAATTTCGTTGAAATAAATTTTATATTTTAAGGACTTATTTTTTCACTTTTAGAATTTATTTTGAAATATAATCGTATTTTTGAAGAATTATTCTAATAAATTTGGAAAATAACTACACGAGTCATTCAAATATCAAATTTAAATTCTCGAATTGTTTTTTAATTTAAAAAAAAAAAAGTTTTTTAAAAAACTGCCCGAAAAACATTTTTTAAAAGAAAGAAGAAGTTAAATTTCAAAAAGAAAATTTTTTTAACTAACAATAGGAGTTAAAATTTAGTTAAAACGGTAATTATTTATAATATCAGAAAAAAAGAAAAAAAAAACCTTTGGAAATTCATGAAAAATACAAGAGCACATGAAGATGAGAATTTAAAATGAATGCACATTTTTTTAAAGGAGATTTGGACCCCCCTTGTTAAAATTGAATTATTCTCGAAAAAAATGTTTGTTTCTACTAAATAAAAAAATTAATTTAAACTTAATTAATTAATCTAATTTTAATTAATTCCAATTTAATGAAAACATTTTTTAATACTAAATGAGAAATTTCGTTTGTTTAAAATTCAAAAAAAAAAAAAAAAAGAAAATATTGTCATTCACTCGGGTGGTCCTGTCTCGTGATTTGTTGAAAAATGAAAAATTCACGTACTCTGATAAGGCATTGTGATTGTTGCAGTGGATTAACGTGTCGAACACTGTCCGAATTGGGATCATCTGGCTTGCATCATCCCGCGGAAGCTGTGAGAAAAGTTTCCGAGAGAATTTTAATTCTCGTTTATAAAGTTAATCCACGATTAGTGCGCAAGCAATTACCGCCTGACGACGATATTACGAGGAGAAATTTATTGTATCGGCAATTATTTCACGAATTCGATCGAATTGATCTTCAGGTAATAAGACTTTTCTTTTTTTAAATCAAAATTTTTAATCTCTGATATTTTAAATTGTTTCAATTTTAGTATTTTAAATTTAAATAAATGTTTTCTATTTTAAATAAAGTTCGTTTTTTTTAATTTTCAATTCTAATACTTTAAATAAAAATTTTCTATTTTAAATAAAGTTCTTTTTTTTGTTTTTAATTTTCAATTCTAATATTTGAAATAAAACTTTTTTATTTTAAATAAAGTTCGATGTTTTGTTTTTAATTTTCAATTCTAATATTTTAAATACAAATTTTTTATTTTAAATACAGTTCGTTTTTTTTTAATTTTCAATTCTAATATTTTAAATTAAAATTTTCTTCTATGTTATTTGTTTGAATAAGTCGATTAATTTTTAGAGAAAAAAAGAGATGGAAACTAGTCAAAAATCAATGACAACACCGACAAGAACGAGATCGATGGATAGTAACGTTGCTAGTTTAACTAAATCACCTCCAAGGACAAGTCCTCCAGTTAGTACGGGAAGTTCCACTAGCGTTACATCTCCCTCTGATAATAGTGCCGATCACAAGGGCGACAAGTTAGTGTTTTAAATTCTAATTTGCCGAAAGTAATTATTTTCCTCTCGTTTAATATTGATTTCTTATTCTTTCAGAATGTGTATTTTCTGTTTATCGAAAGGAAAAGTTTATTCGGAGGAAGGATTGAATATTCATTATTGGCGAAGTTGTCCAATGTTAACGAAATGCGAATCATGTAAACAAGTCGTCGAAATCTCTCATCTTAATTCACATTTGCTGTGTAAGTGAAAGAAAAATTTTTAACAAAATAATTTTTTTCAATGTTTACTTTTTAAATTGTTTCAAGACACAATTTTTTTTTTTTGTAATTTTCTAAAATGTATTCCTTCAAATAAAATTAATTTTCAGATGAATGCGATTTAAGGAACAATTACGTCAAGTGTGAAATATGTAAACAGGCTGTAAATGAAAAATTATTCGAGGAGCACAAAAAAGATGAAAAATGCACAAGTATGACTATATTTGAAACTCTTATCAATTTTTTTTCTTGTAAATATGAAAACTTTATTTATTTTTTTACTTTATGTCGTGAATTCATTCGAATTGATCTTCAGCTCATGGAATTTTTCCTTTAAGATTTACATTTTAAATAATGAAAAATTAATAATGTCAAAAAAAAATGACTAAAGTAAAAATTTTTATTTCTTTTTTTAATTTTAATTTGTAATTTTGAAGAAATATAAAAGTAAAAAAATATTTTATAAAAATATAAAAAGAAATATAAAAGTAAAAAAAATGATTTATAAAAGGAAGTACAATAATAAAAAAAATATAGGTACAAAAAGAAATAAAAAAAACAAGTTATAAAATTGCAAAAAATTAAAAAAGTAATTATTATTCATTGTAAACATTTTCAGAGCCAATGGAAGGTTACGGAAAGTGTCCTCTTTGCCGTGGACTGGTAAATCAAAACAAATGGAAGGACCACTTAATGGGTGATCATCCCTGCAGTAGCAATCCACGATTAAGAGCGAAATCTTGTAAGTTCGAAATATTTACAATTGGTCAAAAATTTAGCAATTATTATTATTATATTGTACTATTTTATGTATAAAATATAATAATAGATGATAATAATTTCGATAAAATTTAATTTATTAATTATTTATCAAATAAATAATTATTTTTATTTTCTTGTAAAATATAGTAATTTGTCAAAAAAAAATGTTTCAGGCACAAAATCATCTTCGAACGCACAAAATTTAAGTGGAAAATTAACATCACCAACCGGAAGGGATTACTAGCAGTAAATGATTTTTTTTCTAAATTTCAAAGTTCTAGTCAATTTTTTTTGATAATTTCTATTTTGTTTTTGATAATCTATATATATTTGTTATATATTAATTTCTTTTATTTTGTAAACTGTATTTAAAAACTTTTTATAGTAAAAGAACCCGTCCTTTTATGTAACAATTAGCAATTATTAGAAAATAAGTACTCGAAAAAAAGTCCGTTGAATCAATTAATATTATCATTAATTATTGTTCAATGAACGAAACTTCAATTATTATAATTCAAGAAAGAAAATTAAATTTTCAAAATGTAGTTGAAGAATTTAAAATTTAAACGATTTAAAAGACATTTTTTGACTTAAATTTAGTGAAATTTAATTAATTTAGTGAAAATTATTCAATTTATTATACTAATGAAATTAGTTGAGAAGTGAGAAAATCAGAAAATGATTTTCCATCGACTGTGACTTTTTATCAAAAGAAACTTCTTTTTTTCAAAAAGAAAAAAAAAGTATAGCTATTCGAACATCTAAAAAAAAGATATTTTTCTGGATCCGCCCATTTTTGCAAAATCGCATCCATTAATCTTTAAGATATTTGCTCGATGGCAGCGAACAGTAACTTTTAAGGGTATTTTACGCTCAAATGTTATAAAGTAAATTATGTAATTTCATACATTCATTGTTTGATAGAAAAAAAAATTGACTATTAAAATATCATTCAACTCAATATCGATTTTATTACTTCCCTCATTCTTTATTCCCTTATCATTCTTTTAGAATTTTGTTTAACTTAATTTTTAAACGATCGTTCATTTTGAAAATAAAATCATTTTATAATTATAATAATAATTAAAAATTATGTAATTTTCTTGTTTATTTCATCATTTGTAGTATTAAAAAACAAAATTGAAAAGAATTTATTAAAAGAAAGAAACAGTACCTGAAATAGAGAGAAACGCAGTTTCTTTAAAGTCAATATTATGTAGTTACATTATTTTCTTCTGAATCTTTATTATTCTCGTCATCTGATTTTGTCGAACCATTTTCGACCTTGTCATCTTTCACTGCATTTCCAATATCATCTTCATCAGCGTCCACTTTCGTTGCCTGCTGTCTATTAGCTTCAAATTTGTTTTTCTCTAAACAATTGAAAATTACGAAATTAAAAAAAAATTTAGCTATATTAATATTAAAAACAAATCCAGACACATTTAATTATTTTCTAAAATTTTAACCAAAATTCCTTTTTAAATCTATTCTTATTATAATTCAATTATTTAAATAGAAAAATAAATAATTGAATTTTTGCAAAAAATTTTACTATTTAGAAAAATAATTGAATTCTTACGAAGAATATTATTATTTATGGAAATAATTGAATTCTTGCGGAGAATTTTATTAAAATTTTCGAAATTATTAAACAAGAATAATTATTAAATTAGTTAACAATTGAATTTTTTAAAAGTTTGAATTTGAAATTATTCAAAAATTCATATTTGAAAATAAAAAATTTTCTTATTTACATAAAATAATAAATTGAATATCACAAATAAATATTTTGAATTAAAAACAATTACCAGAAAACAAGAGTTTTTAATATAGAAGATAGATAAATAGATAATAATAAAGTAAACGTTTTAAATAGTTGTAAATAAGTGAATTTAAAAAGAAAAATTCTCACCAAATTTAGAGCAATCGGCTCCTAAAAGTCTCAAAAAATGAACAGCATCGTGAATAGGAACATAAGCTCTCAAGGACATTGTTCCTCTCCATCCAACCATTTCCAAATTCAAAGGATACGGATTTTCTGATTCTTCCTCTCTGTACAATAATATACAACTTCCTGTCGCTGTAATAAAATTTAAAAAAATTTTTTATTTAAAAATAGAAATTTTGTTCGATTTTTATTAAATATTTTTCAATTCTATTCGAATTTTTGTTCAAATTTTTATTAATTAAAATTAAATTTCTCGTCGAATTTTCTTAAACAATTGAATTTCAATTCTAATCGTTTTTTTAAAAGATTTTTACCAATTAAATTTCAATTCTAATCGAATTTTTCTAATTATTTTAAATTAAATTTTTGAATTATTGTTATTAGTAAAGAGAAAATAATTTAATACCAAAGTCCTTGACGCGCTCCTGAGTTTTTTCACTAAGTTTGACAATTTCCGGCGGTGTATGATGATCGTCATTTTGCAATAACATAATGAGATCTTCCTTTAAAATTTGAATTTTCCTCAGATCGCCAACAAAGTGAAGAATACTTTGCATTCCCTCTTGTGCTAATCGAAAGGCGCACTTCATATTTTTATTGTCACAACGAACAAATGTTTTCACTCCAGTATTAATCATTTTTACTTTATTCTCATTCGACAAAATAATATCTCGAATCGCAGCCGATGTGAAGTAAATATTCTTCTTTTTACCCTCATTACATCTCACTAGTAAACACTTTGGATCTAAATCGTTTGAAATATTGTAAAATTCTCTGAAAACAAAATTGTTTATTTAAATTTTCTTCCTAGGAATAGAGAAAATTATTTTTTAGTGAAAGAAAAGAAAATTATTATAAAGAAAATTATTCTTTCTTCTAAATAAATCTATTGGTACAAAGAAGGTTTCTTTTTTTAACCGTTTGTAACTCTAAATAAATAAAAGAAGTGAAAATGTAAGGGAGACGATAAGAAAATGAAAAGTGGGTGAATGAGAGGAAAGAAATGTAAATTTAATTTCTCACTTGATTGAAGACCAAACGTCTTCGCTGTCGTCTTTGAAAAATACAAACGGATCTTCCCGATAACCGTGGAGTCTTTTCTTTTTTCTCTGCGGACCCCATGGTCTCTTATCATCGTTCAAAGCCCTCTTTCGATCGCCCTCGTTTCTCGTTTCAATTAATTCCACAGTCTTTGACTCTTCACCACTTTTGCTTTCTTGGATTTCCGAATTTTCCAGAGATTCATTCAAAGTTTCAGTATTCATTTCAACATTAGTTTCAGCATCATTTTCAGTATTATTTTCCCAGGGCAGTGCTTTCACTTTTTCTAAAACTGCGACAAAGAAACCGCCGGTATCTTGATGGTGAGGCAATATCCTCATACTGTAAAATTACATTTTTCAATTAATTCAAATTGTTAAGAATTCACGTAACTTTTTTTTTAACTATAGAATTTATGTTAAAATTATTTCAAAGAATAATACCATCGTTCAAGATGATATTTGTCAACATCCTCAGGTTTTGGAGGGAACATTTTTGGTCGAATTTGCGTTTGCCATTGCTCAGGAACTTCTTCCCATGTTTTGTAGTATTGTAAATTTTTCGATGCCGGCTGCCAATTGGATACACCTTGAAATAATAATAATTAATTCGAAAAGTAGTCTTAATAGGTAGTAAATAGTTTATTTTTATAATAAATTATAAAGTTATAATTAATTTTATAAAAGTAAATTAATTCAGAGCTCTGGTAATATTTTTATGTTATTCCTAATAAAAATGAAAAATACAAACCGGGATTGCATTTTAATCCGGGAACAAGATCTCGACAATCAATTAATTGAACAGAATCTTCAGTTTCTGTTAAAAGCCTATGAAGAACGGCTTCGTTTTCCAGTGGATTTAAGGAACATGTTGAATACACCATTCTACCTCCGACTGTCAACATTTCTAATCCCCTCCTCGCTATTCTGTACTGTATCCTAAAATAATAAAAAAAATTATCTTTTCTATTACTTTTACTAAAAATTTAAATAAATAGAAAATAAAAGAAAATCTACCCATGAAGATTGTTTCCATTTGCCGGACTCCATTTGCACCAGATATCAGGATTTTTTCTCATTGTTCCATCGCCACTGCAGGGAACGTCAGCCAAAATTCTGTCAAATCTAAAAATAATTCATTTACCAATTAATTTATTTTGCAAAAAACTTTACAAATGGTTTAAGAAAAAAAAATAATAATAATAAATAAATAAATTACTTCAAGATTCCCTTCGATCCATCGGGATTGGTAATTGTAAAATTTGGCATTACTGAAGAGTCGTGATTAGTGATAAGAATATTTGGACTATTTAATCGTTTGGCTTGATGAACTAACATGTAACATCTATTGTTATCTAAATCGTTAGCTATAACAAAGCCCTCTGGAAAATAAAAAAATTTTATTTTTAATTTCTTTCTTTATTCCAGGCCTTGGACCTTTCACTGAATTCTAAATTAAATTATTCAAAACTTGGATAATTAGGTAAAATATTTTTAAAATAATTAAATTTTTGGAAAATATAAAAAAAATAATCAAATTTTATGAAGAATTTTAATTATAAATATATCAAAATAATTTCTTTTTGAAATATTAATAAATCTAAAAAAGTGAATTTATAAAAATTTAAATTTCCTTTCTCCGAAGATAATAATTGAATCTTAAAAAATTATAATAAATTAATTCCAATAATTAGTTTTTTAAAAATATTTAAGAATTAAAATTTTCAAATTCAAACCATTTAGAAATTTAACAACTTCTAATAAATAAAGATGAAGAATATTGATACTGTAACTTTTCAAAATTATTTTCATACTTTAAATTCAATTATTACTTATTCTAGAATTATTATCAAATTAATTATTATTAATTATTACCAATTATTATCAAAAATTGTAAATAAAATCCATTTTTAAATCAATTTTTATTAGAAAATTATACGAGAATTCAATTATTTAAATACAAAAATTAATAATTTATTAAATAATTGAATGTTTCTTAAAAATGGAATTCTCATAAAGAATTTTATCAATAAGATTTAAAATAATTGAATTCTTTTAATAAATTTTAATACATTTTTTAAGAATAATAACATTTTTCGAGAAATTCAAATAAAATTGTATCAAAAAATAATTTAAATTCTGCAATGAGAATTATTTATGAAAATAATAGAATTCCTAAAAAGATTTTTATTATTTATGAAAATAATTGAATTATTGCGAAGAAATTTGTTAAAAAAATTGTTTAATTAATTGAATTCCTGTGAAATTTTTATTATTAATGAAAATAATTGAATTCTCGTAAAGAATTTTATTACAATTTTTTTGGAAAATTTTATTAAAATAGTAGATATTGAAAATCATTGAATTGAGGAAAATTTTTGAGAATAATTGAAATTTTGGCAAGAATGTTATTAAGATCTTTGAAAATAATTGAATTTCTGCGAAGAATTTTATTACTTTTGAAAATAATTGAAATTCTGCAATCATTTGTAACTTGTACAGAATGTAATTTTTCTAGTGTTTTAATTACTGAATTCTTCTATAAATTCATTTTTTTATTAATAACTAATTGGAAAAATTTGTCTCTAGTTAATTTTCAAACTATAAAATTCGAAATAAGTTGCATTTTCTACTAAAAATGTGGTATTTTGTTACAATATTTGAAAGAAAAGTAAAAAAAAGTAGCTATTTTTTAAAATAAGTTGAAAGAAGTTTAATTAAAAAAAAAATTGTCGAAAAAGTCATAATATTCGAGGCCTGTTATTCTTTACCATCAATTTTCAAAATTTTGAAATTATATAAAATTTTACCAGGAACTGTCTCTTTTTCATCAGCGTGAATCATTTCTATCAATTGAGCAGTTTTTGAACCAGGAGCCGCACACATATCTAAAACCTTGAAACAAAATTTATTTAATTTTAATTTATCTTTCACATTTAATTAAGAATTCTTTTTTAATATATACAAAATACCTTTTTTTCGGGAAAAAATACCAAAAAATGTTCTTTTGAACGTTCGTAACTTTAGGAACACGAAATTATTATTTTTATTGAAATTTTATTGAAATTTAATATTTAAAATATTAAAAGAATAAAAAGGGTTGTCAATAAAAATACTTTCACTAAATTCGAGAGTATTCTATTCCATTATCATGTAGAATAGAAAATAAAGATAAAAAGGAAATAAAAGAAAAATAAAGAGATAGAGAAAAAAAATAGAAATAAAAAATTTGCAATCACCTTGTGAGATGGTTTAACATCAAGAACTAGTGGCGGTATCATACTGACGACTTCCTGTCGACTGATACTACCGCTACTTGTTTCAGCAATTAAAAAATTGTGTAACCTGAAATAAGTTTCAGATCGTCGAATATCTTTCCTCGTGAGTTGCAATTGCCACGCTAAACTCTCGGGATAAAAGGGAAGGCAATGCGGTTTCATTTTCTCCACTTTCTCCGCTTCCTCTTCTTCTTGTTCGTCCAATTTTAAATTTAATATTTCCTCGAAGAAATCACCTTTTATTATTTCTAATAGTGCTTTTGCTTCTGATTTTGAACCTGTAATTCGAAAGGCAACTGGAAGATTTTCCCTCATCATTGTCATAAATGCACTCCATTCTTCCTCGGGAACAATTTTTTGTGTTTTGTAATAATTTTCGAAATCCTCGTTTTCTCGAATTATATCCGCATAACATCTCTGCGGTTGTTTATCCCAATCGTCCTTATTCTTTTTATTAAAAAGAAACAGAAATAAAATAGGTAAAAATTAGTTATCGTTTTCAAAATATCATTCAAAATAAAATTGAAAAAAAAATAAAATTTAAGAATAAATGCGGTTAAAAAAATAACTATTTTGTTGCTATGCAGAATATTTTGAGGTTAGGTTGAAAATTTTTTATTTTATTTGTCTCTAATGCGGTGAAATTAACGAATAGAACAAAAAGATATTTGCAAAAAATGACTATTTTTTATGCATGTTAAAGTAATTGGAAATTTTTGTTCAAATAAGATAAAATTAAATGTTTAAACAAACATAACCTCTCTGTAACCGGTTTTTATGCATAATTTTTTTGAAAAACGTACCTTTTTCTTTTCACGACGTTTCTCGGCAAAATTCTTTTTTGGCTTATTCCTTCGTCCCTTTCCCATGATTTATTTTTTACGTTAATTACTTAAAATCCAACACGTGTTTAATTGAAATAAATTTACAACACTTTGAAAATTGTTTGACAATTATGAAGTTCCTCCCAAATTCATAACGTAGTTCAGTCGACGTTCTACAGATGTCGCATTTAAAATTTTTAAATTTAAAGGTCCAGAATGTCAATTTGCAACTGTAAAGTCTAAATAACAAATTTAATAACAATAACTTTGGTATAAATGTGTATACCTATAAAATTGAACAATTTGAGCAGATTTGCGTTTTTCAATGAAAAAAACTGAAAAAGTTTTATAATTTTTAAAGAGGACTTCTAAAGACTTTAGGGACTTCAAAAAAACGAATCGAAATGGTAAGAAAAGTAATTTATTTAAAAAATATATAATTTGCTCCTAAATTAACATTTTTTAGCAGAAATTGTTTTTAATAAATTATCAACATCTTCGTCTTGTTCCTCGTCAGAAAAATCAGATTCACTGCTTTCGTCTTTTGTTGCTTTAGATTTTTCTGAAAAATATATTTGTTAATTATGAGAAGAGGTTTTTTTAATTACAAAATATTTACCATTAGGTTGAGTCTTTCTTTCCTCTTCAACTAGTTTTGTTAAATAAGAATTGAGGTTCTTCTGAACAATTTCTGCACTTTTGCGTAGTGCTTTTAGATTATCATTATCAACTTCATTGCCAATTTTCTCGTAAATTATATTTTCTCCCTTCGTCACTTGAACTAATACTGGTACATCCATTTTTTGACGTTTTACCTCTTCGTTTCTCTATTTGAACAAAAATTAAAATTCCAAAGTTTAATTATTTAATTATAATGTAGAAAATTATTTCGTATATGTTTTTATAATGTATTTTGAGGTTAGGTTATTCGTAAACAGAGGTAAACATAAACAAAACCTGAATTTCAGGTGTCCTATTAAATAAATATTACAACAATATTAAAAACTGATTAGAAAATTTAAAAGATAATAATTTTTATTTTTATTACCAAAGAAAGCAGCGAACAATCTAATTATTTAAACGATTTAAACTTTTTATTGTTGTCTGAAGGCAATTGTCAAGATCACGACAATCGTTGAATTAACAATGTCAATTTATATAAATATTGAAAAATACACTGTAAAAAAATCTGCTGTAAATTTACTATGTCCGACGTTGGAAAGTTTGGTCACTATGTCCGACGTGGTATTTTTACACGCCGACTGTAATCTACATAACCTGCAAATATTTTTTGAAATAATATTTTCAGTCGTAGCTTTTTGTATTTATGAAATATAGCCCAAAACTTTTTGTTATATTATTATTTACTTATAAATTAGCATATACTTTCTATAAATGTACATTATATACACTTTTTTAGAGTTATTTATAAAAACTTGAAAATTTTTCGAAAATCTTAAAGGAATAAGAAAATTACATTCGCCATGTAATTGTACAGATCGTGCGACGTAATATTACGTCAAAGTGTAGAAATACACGCAATGTAAAAATACCACGTCGGACATAGTGATCAAATTTTCCTACGTCGGACGTAGTAAATTTACACAAAACTATTAAATTACATAGTCGTATAATGTAAAATTATTAAAAATAGTAAAACTACTTTTGGAACGAAATAAATTTACTACGTACAACCTATAATTTTGATGTGTGAAATTACAAGTTTCGTGTTATTTTACACCAGATTTTTTTACAGTGTATTATTGTTAGTTCTAAAAAATGTTTAAAAAAAGAGCAAAAAATTATCTTACCTTATTTATTTCCATTGTAATAACAATAAAATAATATAAACAAATGGGGAATATTTTATTTTGATTTTATGTCAACATGGTCGATAATGTTGGAAACTATTTTTCTTCTTTCAAATCTTATCAACTTAAATTTTTCCAATAAAGTTAATAAAATACAAAACATTTTAAACAATTTTTAATAACGAAATTTCTAGTTTTGTCTTATTAAAAAAACATTTGTCTCTTTTTAAAAAACTGTTTAAAAAATAAGTACAATTTAAATTCAAAAACGACTTCCAGATGTCGTTGGATGACAATTCCGAACTTATCCTTTCTAAAAAAAGACATGGGATAAAAGAATCGAATGCACTCGAAAGTGTAACTCGAAAAGTATCGAAAAGATTAAGCATCGGTAATATGAATAGAAGGGCGAACTCATGTTTCCAAATGAAATTGTAGTACATTAAAAATTCACATATACTTAAGAGATGGAGCTGCAGTCTGAAATTATTCTTTTACTACTAAATAAATAATAATATAAATAATAAATAACATATAATTTGTAATTAAAAATATAATTAAATTAATAGAAAATTTTACACTTAAGCAAAAAAATATTTTAAGTAAAATAGAATTTTATTTAAAAAATTATTAAATTGAAAAAATTAACATTAAAACTTTTAAAAATTGAACAAAAATGAACATGGAATAGAAGCAACGAAGACGGCCGAAGGCCGTCTGAGGCGCTAGTTATTTAAAATTTAATTAAATAATAACAAATTATATTATAAATAATAATAATAAATAGTAATAATAATTAATAATAAAAAATAGTAATAAAAATATGACTGTTTTTATTATTAAAAAATAGTTTCTTTATTTAAATAGTTAACGTTAATGTTCCAAATAATTTGTTAATTTTATTATTAACGAAACAAGTTTTTATTTTTTATAATGAAAAATAACCAGAAGAGTTTAATTCAAATAGTCTAATATTATTATATTAGAATTATTTCTTTGTTGACGAAACAATTTTGTTTTTAAAACTTATTTTATTTTTATTTATTTTATTTTAAAAATTGAAAAAGTCTAAAACATTTTGTAATTGATTATTTAATTAAAATATTTAGTTGAATTAAAACATTTACTACTTTAATTAATAAATATTACTAATTTAAGGAACTTGTAAACAGGTGTAAAAATAACTAAAAAATATTCTTCTTTGAAGCACAAACTCTATATTTTGTGTCGTAAAATGTTAACATTAATATAAACGTCTATGTACAAAAAATTTATTTACATTGATTGTTAGCATTTTTTTTAGTTACTCTTAAAAACAAATATTTTTGCCGCATTTACAATCAACAAATATTCAATATTCGTACGTGCAAAATAAAACAAACAAAAAAAAATTTATTCTTTTTTCTCACAAATTCATTATAAAAATTCTCTTAAAAAAATTATGATATTCTAAAAAAAACAAACATCTGAGTATATAAACATTTATAAATAACTTAAATAATAAGTTAGTTAAAATAGAAGTACAAATAATTTTTTAAACTTGGTTTCAAAAATGATGAAAAATAGTTTTCCAGCACAAAATTATTTTTACTATACACACATTTAATCATTTTGGTATAATTAATATTTTCTTTTCAATTTGAAACTGAAGCAATTAACTAATTTTTCATTTATTCAATTTTTTTGAACAAACAATCAAAATTTGATTTCTTTTTCACTGGTAAAAAAATTGTTGTACAAAAATATGGCATTTTTTTAAGAACAAAAAAGATGAGAGGAAGAATAATCAATAATAAAACAATTGTAACATTAAAAAATACAAGTTGACGCAATCTCATTGTAATTATTCGCTCTTCTGATTTATCAATTCGCTCGTTTTAACTTTGCATCGAGTGACTCACTGGTATAGGAGAAAAAGTCTCTATTTTTAGTGTCTTGTTAAAAAAAAAAGAAAAATATAACAAAAATCGAAAAATACTTAATGATTATTTTTTGAAAACAAAATTATTGTTAAGAACCTATATTAATAATCGTTGTATTTTGAAAAAATTGAATATACATTTTTTTTCTTTTTTATAAGACTTTTAAAGCCTTGAGTACTTTTCCTTAAAGTTAAAAAGTAAACACTGAAATAAATTGCGTCTTAAATTTTCCATTTTTTAAAATAATCGATAAATCATTCGAAAAAGAGTAAAACAAAAAATAATAGAATAAAATAAAAAAAGTACCTTCTCACTAATGAGAAGGTAAAAAAAAATATGTTAGTTTGTTGTTAAAAAAAATTCTAAAATACAAAAAGTGATTTTCTATAAACTTAATTTTTTTTAAATAAAATAAAGCTTCTCTTATCTAATTTTAATTTTACTGTATCTAAAATGTAAATTATCTTTTAATCATATATACACAATTAAACATTAATCTCAAAAAATTATTTGAATAAAATGAAAATAAAAAAATCAAAATAAAAAAATTAGAAAAGAAAGAAAATCTCTAGAATAAAAATTTTTTCAAATAATTATTATTATTTTTCTCAAACAAAAATTAATTTACTATTAAAAAAAATTGTATTTCCGATTCAAAGAAATTGAATGTATCATTTAAAAACAATTCAATTTGCTATTTAAACAAATTAAACTTGCTATTTTAAAAAAATGTAATTTTCTATTAAAAAAAATTCAATTATTACGTAATTAACTTAAAGAAATGAATTGTAATAAAAAAACCTAAAATTGAAAGAGTGAAAAATAAACTTTTCTCTCTCAATGGCATCCACAACTCTTGACAACCATATTTTTGTACTTTTTAAGAATAACATTACTCTCGTCGAGGAAATAGAGAACGGAAATGGCCGAGAGTTTTGTTGGTGCACAACATGGCTTTGGAACTTTGCCAGGATTAACAAGATGCACAAGTGTTTGAACAATTGCGTGATTTGTCGCATTCATATGTGCATTTAATGGAAAATTACATTCCCCACTGCAATAATATGCGTCATAACCGTCGGGTGCAATAATCCAGTCCTAAAAAACAGGTAAACAAATTTTTTTAAAATTAACTTTGTTTTCGTAAATAATTATATTTTTTAATAATTAAATTCCTTTTTCTAATTTTATCAACAATCTTAATAGAAAATATTTATTTTATTCTACAACTAACCCAGTAAATTTAATTAAAAATTACACCAAATTAATTAAGAATTTATTTAGCTTTATTGAGAATTTATCTAAATTAATTAATTTTAACAAAAATTAAATCAACTTGCTTAACAACTTATTTATCAATACATATTTAATATTTGCTGATTAAAATAATTAAAATGAGAAAAAAGGATGGTAGGTGGTAGCTTTTTTAATCATTTTCTTTCTAAAAAAATCGATTTCTAATGAAATCAGTATTCTAAAAACTGTTTTTCTAACAAGTTCTGATTTCTAAAAAAAAATTTTCCAACAAGTTTTAATTTCTAAGATTTATTATTTCGATTTTTATAGTGTGAAAATTAACTAGAGACAAATCTGTCAAAATCAATTTTTGAATAATTTTTCTAATTAAATTTCCAAAATATACAATTAAAAAGAGTTTCAATAATTGAATTTTTTGTAAAATTTAATTGAAAATAATTGATTTTTTAAAGTATTTTATTACAATTTTTGAAAATCAACTTTTGAAGAATTTTAGTTGTAAATTTTGAAAATAATATTGAATTCACAAATTAAATTTAAATTTTAATAAAATATCTTTGAGTGTAAATTTTTAAAATAGAAATTAATAAATATTATCTATTCTAAAAATTATATTAAAATATTTTTGAAAAAAACAATTTTTAGAATTATTTTATCATAATTTTTTAATATTCAATTATCTTCGAAGAAAGTAAATTAATACTTTCAATAATTTACTTTTTTAGACTTATTAAAATTTCGAAAAAGTCATGTTCATATTTATAATTAAAATTCTTTCAAAATTTGATTATTTTTTCATATTTTTCGAAAATTCAATTATTTTTAAAACATTTTACCAAAAATTTCATTTGTTTAGAAATTGTCCAATTGTATATAATTGAAAAACTGTTACCTTTCAAAAATTATTTTAAAATATGTTTAAAAAAATTATTTTATGAATTTCTTTATTATAATTTTTTTGAAAATTAATTAATAACCTTTAAAAAATATGGACAGTTGGAATTATTATAAAAAATTGAATTTTTGTATTTAAATAATTGAATTTTCGAAGAACTTTCGGAAAGTTATTACAAATAATTGATTTATTGATAAAGTTTAGTTAAAAATGGTAGAAAATAATGGATTTTTTTTCAAGTATTTTATTGCAATTTTTAAATATCAAATTTTGAATAATTTCAATTGTAAATTTTGAAAATAATTGAATTCTCAAAAATTGGAATGAAAAATCTTCAGGTATCTATAAATTTAAAAATAAAAATTTATGAAAATTAGTTTCTAATAATTATATTAAAATATTTTTAAAAACAAGTAATTCTTAGAATTGTTTCATTCTAATTTTTTTAAATTCAATTATTTTCAATATTTTCAATTACATATTTCTTTATAATAACTTTCAAAAAAATCATGAGCAGTTATAATTATTATGAAAATTTAATTTTCTTGTTTAAATAATTTAATTCTCGAAGAAAATAAAAAATAAGAGAATAGAAAATTAGAAAATTTTAGAAAAATAGAAAATAAAATATTAGAAATCGTGTTTTAGAAAAACTGTACCCCATTTAAAGTCGCAAATTCAATTATTTAAATAAAAAAAACATGAATAATTAAAAATAATTATTTAAATAAAAAATATTTCTACGTTGTGAAAATTTCTCACCTGCCATTGTAAATCCCGAAAACTAACGTAAAGTGTTTGTATTTTACACGTTCTCGAATTGTACTGAGTAGCTGCGTCTGTAAAAAAAAAGTTTTAAAATTAATTTTTTTCCCTTCAGTAAATATAGAAAATATTCTAAATTAAAAATTCCATTTGAAAATAATTTCTAGATAATTATTAATTTTTTATTAAATTTTTAATATTAATTTAATTCTTAAATTCCTGTTAACTATGTTCTCAATTTACCAATATAGGGATTACTCCGATATTCCAAACTCGAAGAATCGCTTTTCTTTTTTCTCCTCGCGTCTCGTTTTTGTCTGAATTTTTTTTCCCTCATACCAGAACTTTTGAAAAAGCCAACCATAAATGGTTGTTTACCAGCATCGCCTCGAAATCCAACAATTCCAATATCCTCCGGCTTCACCTCGTGCACTGAAACAAGAAAAATTATCATTTTTTATTAAATATAGAAATTACAAATTTTAGAAGAAAAAAAAAGCAAATAATCTTCATCTCACTCAGCAAGAATTTTTTTCCGATTAATAATTTATTACATAAAATAATTAATTAAAAAACTCCCGATTTTTTGTTTTTCTTTTAATGAGATTTAAAAAATGGAATCAACGAATAGAAAATAATTTTGACTGCGATGAGAAAGGAAAGAAAAAAAAATGCAATTTATTTAGTACAAAAGAAAAGAAAAATTAAGATGAAAATTAATTTGCAAATGGGAAAAATGTAGAATGGGTGTTTATTGGACCCTGTCGCGTGCGATTATTTATAGCCAACCTTCATGAATATTTACTATTTAAGAATCTCAACGCCTCGAGTATAGATATACATTTAGACACGATATTTAATCGAGCCGTTCACTTTACAATAATCCAACACGATTCATATTATATAGTTTAAATCTAGGCCTCTAATTATAACAACTTTTGCATAAAGCAAAAACACATGTACGAGTTATATAAAGATTTGAAAGCCCATAGTCAAGTTTATTATTAACCACACATTTATAATAAAACCCTTCTTTTCACTCTAATATCGTATTCGCAATTTTTTTTCACCAGCTAACAAAAAAAAAAGAAGAAAACAAATATTTTACAAAGAAAAATTCCAAAACAATTTCAATTTTCTTCAAAATTCTATTTTATTCCTATTTATTGCCACAAAGTGGTGGAAAAAAAAAGAAAACAAAATTGTGATAAATTATTTTTTCTGTTGATTCTATGCACGTGTTAAATAAGTGTCCTATATATGTAAATAATTTTCCTATTGACAACACAAGAGTCGATTTTTGTGAAAGCTAGTAAATTGCCTTAGAGGAATGCGCGCATTTACTAAGATTGCAGACACCTGCTTCTGTACTTTGCCCGCGACGAGTTTTATATTATAGTATACAGACGAGAATAGTTTGCAAATTTTCCCTTATTTTCATAAAAGTGTATATTAATATAATAAATAAAATATATTCGTAGATTACTCGAAAATAAAAATTAATTTCATTTTTTTTGCCAAATTTTCAATCTATATCAATAATTGTTGTATTCCAGTAATTTGCTCGCAGTTTAAAGTTAGTTGTTGTTTGCTTGTTTGTTTCGTAATTTTTTAAAATAATTTTTCTCTTTAAGTATTTTCAATTTAAAAATTAATGAATCTTTAATCACCTAATCGTTGCGAAGAATTTTACTAAAAAATTTGATAATAATAGAATTTCTTCGAAGAATTTTATTATTTAGGAAAATAATTGAATTCTCGCAAAGAGTTTGGTTAAAATTTTTGAAAATTCTAATTAAATTCTTTTCGAAGAATTTCTTTGAATTTTTTTTTAAATAATGGAGTTTCTTTAATAATTTTAATTAAAAATTTTTAAAATAATTGAACTTTATGAATAATTTCTTTCAAGTTTTTAAAATAATCGTGATTGTTATAAATTGAAATTAAACATTTAATTATTGAATTTTATTAAAATTTTAGAAAGTAATTTAATTCTTTTAAAAAATTTTATAACGAATTAAGAAAAAAATTGAATTTTTTGTGAAATTTTTAAAAAAATAATTGAATTTTTGCAAAGAATTCTATTATTATTCATAAATATAATTAAATTGTGTCGAAGGATTTATTAAAAGTTTAGAAAATAATTGAATTTATTCGAAAAATATTATTAAAAATTAAAAACAAATTGAATTCTTCCATGAAATTTCATTAAAATTGTATTAAAAATAGTTGAATTTTTGCAAAGAATTTTATTAAAAAATTTAATAATAATAGAATTTCTTCGAAGAATGTTTAGAAAAATAATTGAATTCTCACCAAGAATTTTGTTAAAATTTTTGAAAATTCTAACTAAATTTTTTTTGAAGAATTTCTTTGAATTTTTTTAAATAATTAAGATTCTTTAATATAATTGTAATTAAATTTTTTTTAAATAATTGAATTTTACGAACAATTACTTTCAAGTTTTTAAAATAATCATGTTTTGTTAATAATTGAAATTAAACATTTAATTATTGAATTTTAATAAGATTTTAGAAAATAATTGAATTCTATTGAAAAATTTTATAAAGAATTAAGAAAAAAATTGAATTCTTTCGTGAAACTTTTTGAAAATTGAATTTTTTCGAAAAATATTATTAAACATTTTTTAAAAATCAATTCTTTTATGAAATTTTATTAAAATTGTATTAAAAATAATTGAATTTTTGCAAAGAATTTTACTATTTATACATTTAATTGAATTGTTTTTTGAAGAAGTTATTAAAATTTTAGAAAATAATTGAATTCTATTGGAATTTTTTAAAACGAATTAAGAAAAAAATTGAATTCTTTCGTAAAATTTTCTTGAAAATAATTTAATTTTTTCGAGAAATATTATTAAAAATTAAAAAAAAATTGAATTCTCTCATGAAATTTTATTGAAATTGTATTTAAAATAAATTAATTTTTGCAAAGAATTTTACTAATTATAAATAAAATTGAATTGTTTTGAAGAATGTTATTATTTTCGCAAATAATTGAATTCTTGCGAAGAATTTTATTAAATTTTTTGAAATTAATAAACAAGAATAATTAAATAGTAAATTAATTAATAATTGAATTTTTTAAAAGTTTGAATCTGAAATTATTCAAAAATTCATATTTGAAAATAATAATATTTGTAATTTTCATAATAATAAGAAATTGAATATCACGTTCCGTGCGCTAGCGAGAGTAACATTTGCTAGTAATTAATAAAAAAGAAAAGTTAAAAATTGAATTTTCAATAAATTGTTTTTCTTCATCTTCTTTTCTTCTTTTTTAGAGATAAAAGTTCAAGGATAAATATACAGATTTCCGAAGGAGTAGTCTAGCCGTGAGTTTCGCAATAATCTGAGAGTCAAGGACGTGCAACCAGGTAATGTTTTATATATTTATTAAAAGTTGCTCGTTCCGGTTTGGACCGGAATTGTCGAGTGTATTTTTTCTTTTATTTGGTAAAAAAAACTAATCGTCTTATTTTTCTTCTAGATTCTACAATAAACTCATTCTATAAGACAGAAAGGAAGAATTATTCAGAAAACAAGAAACATGAATGAGGGGAGGACGAAGAAAAATACTCAATTTTGAAATTTTCATTCGAATTGAAAATTGAGAGAGAGAGAGAGAGAAATTTCTACACTCTGGTAAATATGAAAATTAAAAATTTAAACAAAAATTTACATTTAACTGAAATTTAACTAAATTTGACTAAATTTAACGTAAATTTAAAGTCAAAATAAACAAAATCATAGCATTATTTTTAATTTTCTTTTCTAGAAATTATTTGGAAAAAATAATTCTGAAATTAACAATTCTATATTAATAACTAAACGAAAATTTAAATTCGTAAATAATTTCTCAGTATTAATCCAAAATGAGTAACAAAAATAAAAAACTGCCTCTTGGAAGGAAAAACTTTCCAAATTAATTAAAATAATTTTTAAAAAAATTCAATTAAACTTTTTCAAAAATATTAATTCTACAGAATTCTTAGTTAAAAGTAAGAAAAATTCATATTTTTAAAGATTTTAATTTGAAACCTTTTCAAAATTCAATTATCTCTAAAAATTCACGTTATATTGCTTTTAATATTCAATTATTATCTAAAATTTTAACTGAAATTCATTTTAAAATCAATTTTTATTAGAAAATTCTACACGAATTCAATTATTTAAATACAACTATCAATTTTTATTAGAAAATTCTACAACAATTCAATTATTTTCATAGAAAAAATTGTCACAAGAATTCAATTGATTTCTTCAAATTTTAAGAAAATTCTCTAGAAAAATTCAATTATTTTCTTAAAAACTAAAATTCTTTTCAAGAAATCAATTATTTTCATAAATAATAACATTCTTCGTGAGAATTCAATTATTTACATAAGGAATTCTTCGAAAGAATTCAATTATGTCCATAAATAACAAAATTATTGCCGAAAATTCAATTATTTTGAGGCATTTTAATAAAATTCTTTGAAAAATTCAATTATTTTCATAAATAACAATGTTCATCACAAGAATTCAATTATTTTTAAATGTAATAAAATTCTTCTTGGAAATTCAATTATTTTCAAAAAGAATCTAATAAAATGCCACACAGACATTCAATTATTGTCAAAAATTTTAAAAGAATTCTTTGTAAAATTTAATTATTTTTATAAACTTTTTGCAATTCAATGATTTTCAATGTCTTATTTTCATAAAATTTCCAAACAGAATTCAATTATTTAAAAAAAATTTTTCTAAAAATCTTCGTAAGAATTCAATTCTTTTTATGAATAATAAAAATTTTTCATGAATTAAATTATTTTAATTCAGAATTTACATAAAATCAGTCAAAAGAAATCAATTATTTAAAAATTTTTATAAAATTCTTCGCAAGAATATTAAATTATTTTGATAAATATTTAAATTCTTTGATGAATAATAAAATTCGTTGCATGAATTCAATTTATTAGCGGGATAAGAAATAAATAAATAATATTTTTGATGAAAATTGGGAAAAAGTCAGGAAATTGAAATATAGTAGGGAATTTTTGTCAGTTTTGTGAAGTTTCTAAAACGAGTTCTTTTGGTCGTCAAGTTTAATTTTTCGATAGCTACTTTTTTTAGCTTGAAAACAACTTATTGCTACTTTTTTAAAATTAATTATTAAGTCTACAACATTCACTATATTAATTATTAAGTGCGAAGTCTGTACTTGTAAAAATAATTGAATTCTTGCGAAGGATTTTATTAGGATTTTTGTAAATAATTAATTTTTTTTTTTGAAAAACTTTATGGTAATTTAAATTATTACAAAACATCGCCTTCTTCATGTTCTGTAATAATATTCTTATAATTTGTTGAATTTCAAAAAGGTTGGAATTTGAATTTTTTTAAAATCTTAATTCCTATGGAAAAATAATAGTGATTAAATATTTTTATTTAAAAAAGAAGTTATTGATGTTTTTGAATAATTTTACAATTAAAGAAATTCGTAAATGTAGTAGATCATTTTTTTGAGTATCTATTATTTTTTTAGAGTGAATCAGAATATTCTTCAGGGTCAGGGAAAAAGTGAAAATTTTGTCTGGAAATTAGGGAAAATTCAGGGAAAAATAAAATAAAATTTCTGTGGTAACCCTATAATAATTAAACGAAAATTTAATTTCGAAAATAATTTCAGGTGATAGAGTCAAAATGAAAAAAAAAATTGATCATTGTAGGAACAAATTCACAAAGTCCAATAAATGATAAAATGAAGACATCATAGGAAGAAATAGAAATAGAAAAAAATATACACAATAGAAAAAAAAATCTATACAGTGACAAATGAATCGAATAGTTGGGGAGGACCTTCAATAAGATTTTGTCCAAGTTCTTTATAACCATCATCAGCAACTTCATCATCATCATTATCTTTATGTGAGAGTGAAGTATATAACTGGATATTAAGAGAGAAAGAAAATATATGTATACGTGTCGCAATAGAAAGACGCACCTCTCCTCGAGAGGCACATATATACACAACAATTCTCTCGATGTTAAAATAAAAGTCGATGTATATGCCGGTGAGCTACCAATACAAAATCAGAATATGTATATAAATATAAAGGTGTAGCACCGATCTTGTGTTTTATATTGAATGATTAAAGGTAAACCGGTTGCCCAGTGGGACCTGGGGGAGAGTTACGCGAATGCTCGAAAGAGAGACCTGTGAGGAGTTCGCGGTGAGGGACGTAAGAAACAAAATGATCTAGGCGCGGCAAACAACAAACTATACGCGCCTCATTCTCTATAGACCCTCTCTTTTTATTATTAACACTCTCCTTGCTCTCCTTGCCATATGAACGAGCTTATTATCCCCAGGAATAAAAAAGAATCCCTGTTAAAATTGGGTCACATGATCCTTTCTTTTCTTCTTTTTTTTCTTCTTTTTTTCTCAAAAAAAAAAACCACAGTAACAAAAAAACATCATCTCTTGGTTTTTTTCCCCCAAATTTCCATCTCTTGTTGTATATTTAAATCCCATAATATATTCGGTTTCAGTTACAAACATATCGATTGAAGATCTAATAGTTTCAACATTCAAAATAGTTTTTCATTTGGAAAAAATTGAATTTCGCCTTTTTAAACTTTTATTCCTTTTCTCTTGCAACTATTTAAGGGGAAAAATAATTTTGTAACTCGATACATTTCTGGTTTTTTTTGCTTTATATATTCTTCTTCACAATAAAACACAATTTTTAAAATAGTAACCGAAAATAGAAAGGGAAAACAAAATATAATACTAATACTATTACAGGGTTGCCACAAAAAATTAAATTCTGATTTTCCTTCACTTTTCCTGATTTCCAAACGAAATTTTAACTTTTTCCCTAAGAAATATTCTGATTTACTCTAAAAATGATTAGTTAGTCAAAAAAATTTTCTATTTATTTGCAAACTTCTTCAAAAGTAAACTTATTCGAAAATATCAATAATTTTATTTTTGAATAAATATTTAATCATTATTATTTTTCTATAGAAATTAAGATTTTCAATAATTTTAAATTCAAACCTTTTGCAATTGTTTTCATCATTTCAATTCAATTATTATTTAATAGAATTTTTAACAAAAATTCTTCTCTAAATAAATTATATTTTTAATATTTTTTGAAAAAAAATTTCTTTGAGAATTTTCAAAAACATTTGTTTACAAAACTCAATTTCACAAAATTTCGATTATTCGGATTATTCGAAAATTTTTAATTAAATATATTAAAAAATAAAAACTTTAAAAAAATTAATTGTACACAATTTTTAATTAAAAGTAGAAAAAATTCAAATTTACAAAGATTTTAATTTGAAACCTTTTTAAAATTCAATTATTTCTAAACATTCGCGCTATAATACTTTTAATATTCAATTATCTAAAATTTTAATTGGAATTAATTTTAAAATCAATTTTTATTAGAAAATTCTACAAGAATTCAATTATTTAAATTAAAAAATAAATGATTTATTGAATAATTGAATGTTTCTTAAAATTGAATTCTCATAAAGAATTTTATTAACAACTTTTTGTAAATAATTAAATTCATTTGACAAATTTTAATTAAATTTTTAAGAAATATAATTAAATTTTACGAGGAATTCGATTAAAATTGAATGAAAAATAATTGAAATCCTACGATGAGTTTTATTATTTGTGAAAGTAATTGAAGTCCTAAAAAGAATTTTATTATTTATGAAAATAATTAAATCACTGTAAAAAAATTTATAATTTATGAAAATAATTGAATTATTGCGAAGAAATTTATAAGAAATTTGTAAATAATTTAATTCCTGGGTAATTTTTTTATTATTTATGAAAGTAATTAAATGTTTGCGAAGAATTCTTTTACAATTTTTTTTTTTTTAAATAATTGAATTCTTTTGGAAGATTTTATGAAAATAGTGAATATTAAAAATCATTAAATTGAGGTAAATTTTTGAAAATAATTAAAATTTTGACAAGAATTTTATTAAATTTTTCGAAAATAATTAAAATTTTGGCAAGAATTTTATTAAATTTTTTTGCAAATAATTGAAATTTTGCGAAGAATATTATTAAATTTTTTGCAAATAATTGAATTTCGGAGAAGAATTCTATTATTTATAACGATAATTGAAATTTTGACGAGAATTTAAAAAAAATTTTGTTACATAATTGAATTTCTGCGAAGAATTTTATTTCATTTGAAAATAATTAATAATTGTTGTAGTTCAATTCTGACACGAATTAAGTTTAAAAAAATCTCGGTTAACCTTTTAGAAAAAAATTGAATATTTGAAGCGATATCAAAGAAATTTTAAGAAATATTTAAATTTTAAAAGATTTTTAATTGAATTATTTGAATTTTTTTGGAAGAATTGTAGTTAAAATTTTTATAAATAATTAAATTTCAATAGGTTATACATTGAAAGTATTTTGAAATTTTAATTCATGTGGTTAAATGAATAACAAGTATTTTAATATTTATTTTAGGACAATTATTGACATTTAAAAAATTTAATTTGTAAATTCTGAAAAAATTAGGTTTTTGAAAAATTGTAATTTAAATTTTTAGATATATTTGAATTGGTTCAATTTCATTTCTCGTAATTGAAATCTGATGGAATTGATTTTAAATAATTGTCACTTAAAATTCTAAAAAATAATTAAATTTTGAAAGAATTGTAATTTTTAGAAATATTTAAATTTTTGTTTTGATGAATTTTTATTTAGCACATGTTGCTTTTTAATTTGGAATTAAACAAACTTTTCATTTCCATAATTTCTATGCAATTGGATTTTTTTTCTTTTTACAGAATTTTCGTTAGATTAAATTAAAATTTAAAGGAAATGAACCATTATTATATTAGAAAATTGCCAAAAAAAAACCAAACAAAAATTGCTCGAAGAAATAATTAATCAATTTTCCCCAATTTCTTTAAGGACAGTTTCGAAATTTATAAATGTGTCTAAAAAATATTTATCCGTGTGGATATTACATAAGAGTAAATTTCTCCCCATTCTGAGGGAAAATATCGAATAATTATTATTAGAATTTAATGACGAATAATTATATGTTCCATTTTGACAGGATATTATTATAAATAATAATGTTCCATCACATAAAGTATATAAAATTTCATATTTATGAATAGAAGTAAATTGTGTGACATTTGAAATGTCATGTTTTGAAGTTGATACACCTGTTGAAGAATATCAATTTAAAAAAAAAGCTCGAAGGCTCAACGGCAACAGGTGTATTTACCGGCTTATCTAACGGATCAGAAGGTTTCCTCTTCCTCATCACTGAGAGAGCCTCATCTCGGATTCAGTGGCAGAATTGGATTCGGGGGTCGAACTTATCTTACAATCTTGGGACTCTTATTCTTATTTTTTTTTCTTTTTTTTTACTCTCATTCTTATAAATACACACACGCCCACCTCCCATGTTGTAAGTCAAGGAAGACAAGAGGACGCCATTTATCTTTTTATCTCTAACGTTTTCTTTTTTCATATTTTTTCTCAAGTATCCATAGCGTATTTATTTTGGAGTTTTACGTTCTTTAAAAATTTGTTTTCCTCCCTTTTCGGTAGTTAATTGCAAAAGAAATAAAATAGAAAAAAAATTTGAGTAACAATTTTAGAGCTCTTTGAAAATTTACTTGGCGATAAAAATAAACTTTTTTTTTATCGAATATGGAAAATAAAAATTTTTAATATACCTATTTATGAGAATAGAGACGTGAACGTGCTTTCGAAATTCAACAAACTTAAACTGATCCAACCAGTTACAAATGCTAAATTTAGGACTATCGATAGAAGAAAATTTTCAAACAAGAAAGCACATGATTAATTTCACAACGATTACATTATTTTCTTTTCTACCTCCAACAGGCTTCGTACTCGATAATTTATTTTGAAAAAGTAGTAAAATGTGACATTAAAACAAAAAAAAGTAGCTATCGAAAAATTAAACTTGACGACTATTTTCATAATTTCTAAATTAAATTACATTCAAAAATAGAATAATTTTTTTCAAATAAAATATTCAAAAACAAATTTATTTTTCCACGGGAACTAAAATATTTTAAATAATTTCAAAGTAAAGTCTTTTTGAAATTTGATTATTTCCAAAAACTAAAACTGTAATTCTTCCAAGATTCAATCATTTTTTTGTTGTTGAGACTTTTAAATAAAATTATTCAAAACTTTATGTATTTTATTTCAAAATTAACATTTTAATATTATTACAGTTTTTCAACAATTTTCAAAGATTTCAATATAAAAATATTTGGAACTTTAATTATATATAAAAATTTAAACTATAACAATTCTAATATTCAATTATTAACTAAAATTTTAACTGAAATTCAATTTAAAATCAATTCTTTCTATAAAGTTCTAAGAGAATTTAATTATTTAAATACAAATATAATTAATTTATTGAATAATTGAATATTTCTGAAAATTGAATTCTCATAAAGAATTTAATCAACAAAATTTTAAATAATTGAATTCATTTGAAGAATTTTAATAAATTTTTTTAAAATAACATTTTTCGAGAAATTTAATTAAAATTGTATAAAAAATAATTGAAATTCTGCAATGAAAATTATTTATGAAAATAATTGAATTTCTAAAAAGAATTCTAGTATTTATGAAAGCAATGGAATTATAGAGAAATTTATAAAAAAAATATGTAAATATAATTGAATTCCTGTGAAATTTTTATTATTCATGAAAATAATTAAATGTTTGCGTAGAATTTTATTAAATTTTTTTTTTAATAATTGAATTCTTATGGAAAATTTTTGAAAATAATTAAATTTTTGCAACGAATTGTATTAAAATTTTTAAAAAATAATTGAATTCTTGGGAAGAACTTTATTAAATTTTGTTGAAATAATTGAATTCCTGCGACGAATTTTATTAAAATTTTTTTTAAATAATTGAACTCTCTTGGGAAATTTTATAGAAAAAGGTAAATATTGAAAATAATTGAATTTCGACAAATTTTTGAAATTATTTAAATTTCTACAAAGAATTTTATTAAAATTTTTAAAAATAATTAAATTCTTTCAAAACATTTAATTAAAAATGTATTGACAATAATTATTAAATTCTAATGAACAAATTAGATCAAATTTTTTTTAAATAATTGAATTTTTTCGACGAATTTTCTTAAAAATTTCAAGAATAATTACATTTTTCGAGGAATTTAGTTAAAATTGTATTAAAAATAATTTAAATCCTACGATGATTTTTATTATTTATGAAAAAATTGAATTCTTGCAACGAATATTATTATTTATAAAAATAATTGAATTCTTGTGAAAAATTGTATTAAAATCTTCTTAAGTAATTGATTTTTTCGAACAACTATGTGAAAATTATGTTATAAAATAATTAAATTCCTGCAAAAATTTTATTATTTATGAAAATAATTGAATTTTTGTAAAGAAAGTTATAACAAATTTTTTTCAAAAATAATTGAATTCTTTTGGGAAATTAAATTAAAATAGTAGATATTGAAAATAATTGAATCGTTTGAAAGAATTTTATTAAAATTTGTTGAATTGTTTCTAAGAATTTTATTAAAATTTTGGAGAATAGTTTTTTTATTCCAACTATTAGCAAATTTAAAGTAGTGCAAATTCTCAAATATATAGAAAAAATAGCTTTTAGTGTCAAATCTAAAAAATTTTATCCAAATTGTAGCAAATCGCAGAGAAGTAGTAAATTAGTAGGTTTTACTAGATGAGTACAAAGCCTGCTTCAAAAAAAAAAAAAAAATATTGAATCTTTTTCTTTTAATTTAATAACTGAATTTTAGAGTTAAATAAAAAATATCATTAAAATATTGTTTAAAAAAAACTCACTTGATCGATCAGAAGGATGAACAGATAAATAGAGTCCTTGATTTCCTTCGCGATTGTTTACCCAGTGTTGCAGGGGTGCACTCACATTGAGCGAAATCCATCCATTTTTCAATGTCGTATTCACCGAATCAACATATTGTAGTTCTCGTTGTCTAAAAAACAGAAAAAGAATAATTAAAAACGATTTTTTTAAACTTCTTACAAAAAAAAATTTGTAATTATTACATTATTTAGTTACTAAATAATTACAATTACTTATAGTTAAAAAAAAGAATTAATTCGAATTTTCATTTGATAAAATTTCAGTTTAATAAAAATTTTCTCTTAATTACATTTTTACAGATTTTTATTTGGTTTAATTGAATTTAATATAAAATTTCAAACCAAATTTTCACCAAGTTCAAATTTCTAATAAAAATTCGGTTAAATAAAAAATTCTAAAAAATATAAATACAGGTAATTAAAAAATCTTCTAAACTAAAATGTCAATTACTTGACTTTATCAAAAAAAATAAAAAATTTTTCTAAAAATGTATTTTTAAGTGACATTGTTTTATTCAAACGAATTTTTTACTTTTAAGTAATTAAATTAACTAAAATTCAAGAGATTAATTAATTAATTGAAAGTAATCGAAAATTCGTCTGTATAAGGTAAAATGTCAATCGAATAAAAATTTCGTCTGAATAAAAGAATAAGTTTAGAAAAAAATAAGTTTAGAAGAGAGAAGCAAAAAAATGAAAACTAATCAACTGAAAATGTTGAGTGATTTATTTTGCAATGGCAAAATACTTAAAGTGAGTGCATGTGAGAAAGCTGAGTGCACACACATATAATGAGAAACTGGAGTCGCCAGGTTGTCTCGAGAGATTGAGGAAGAAGTGGAAGAGACGAAGAGGGAAGGTATAAAAGATATTACATTCGAAAGACAGAGAGAGAAAGAGAGAGACGAGCAAAAAACATGTCAAAGAAGGAGGAATGCGTTACACGCATTTTAGAGGAAGAGACGAATAATGTAATTTCACGTGTGTGTATGTGTAAAAACACTAGAGGTCAATTTGCAGACAGTGACTATGTTAAACTTCTCTTCTTATCGTTAATTTACTTCAATTTGCGAAATAATATTTCCGGTCCTCTCCAACTCTTAAAACACGCAACTTTAATTCCTCCCCATTAAAAAATTTATCAACCCAGTTGTTTTCATATTGTCAATATTTCATTCTGGAAACAAAAATTTTTTTATTGTCAAAATTATACAGAAGAAATAGAATATACAATAAAAAATTTTTAAAGTACAATTAATTTTTTCGGAAAAGCAAAATTCTATTACAACTTTAATATAGTTTTTCCATTTTTTATAGACAAATTTTCAGATTTTTTATTCTAGAGAAAAATTCTTATATTCAATACATGCAAAAAATATTTTATCTGCAACAAATACAAATTTTATTATATTAGAGAAATTTTTAGATGCCACAAAAAATTAATTTTGTTTTTCCCTGATTTCCAGACAAAAATTTTCCGTTTTTCCCAGAGTCTTAGGAATATTCCGATTCACTCTAAAAATTATTAGATACTCAAAAAATGTTGTAGAACATTTATTTAAAATTCGTTGCAAGAATTCAATGATTTTTAGTAAATCGACAATTTAATTATTTCGGAAAATAATGTAATTCTTGAATAGAATTTTATTAAAACTTTTTTAAATAATAAAATCCCTGCGAAAAAATTTAGTACTTCTGCAAATAATTTATAAAAAATTTGTAAAAGTTGAATTTCTGTGAAATTTTTATTTTTTTATGAAAACAACTGAATTTTTGAGAAGAATTTTAATATTTTTAAAGATAATTGAAATTTTTACGAGAATTTTTTATAATTTTTTAACATAGTTGAATTTTTGCAAACATTTGCAGAAACAGAAATATTTGCATCAGAAATGAAGAATTAAAAAATTCTTTTAACCAAATTTTTCTTTTTTTTGTATTTACACAAAAAAATAGTGACTCAAATATTTTTTTTTGAAATTCGATAAGAGAAAAAATTTGTCACAAAAGAAAAAAAAATGATAAATACATGAGGAAAACTGGAAGAATTTATTTCTTTTCAAAAATGATTTTAAAAACGATTGTGTGTTTTTGGTAAATTCCAGTAAATACGCGTGTCTAACGAGTTTTTGAAGGTCCATTAGGATGAGAACTGCGAGAGAGAAGAAGATAAGGATGAGAGACAATGAGAAAGAGAAGTCGGTTAGGGTGGTCCTTTTGGGTGAAGCTTAACCGAAAAACCCTCAAGTTTATACGTATACACATACATATAGAGAAGCTAAACGAACAGGTAGAACAAATACCTGAGATTTTTTTTCAGGAACTTAAGCACCGCCAAATTAAGGACAAGATGACGATGTCAAAACTTTAAAGATGGAACTAATTTCCGAGAATGAGACAAAAAAATTACTACCACTCCCCCTTATAATAATAATAACAACAACTTTATTAATAAACAAATAATAATAATAGCTGATTAATAATTAATCACCATTTGTACTACTATTACAATTAATATTTTAATTGTTATTTTTTTCGATTACTTTTTTGCTTTCGATTTTTTCTTCTTCTTTTGATTGAATTTCGAATCATTTAAGAATGAATGAATTTAAGAGTGCAAAAAATTAGTAAATTCCCTTTTTTTTAAAAAAAAAAGTGTCCGGAATTTCTGATTTTCTTCACAAAAATAAAATCGTGAAAGAATTCTAAGAAAATAAATTTTCATAATAGAGTTGTATAGTTGAATCGGTATAATAAATATTCTCGCAGTTCTCCGTAAAATAGATTCTCAGAGAATGTGAACAAAAGTTTCTGGTATATATACATATAATTATACAAGAGATGACGCAGCTTCCGAAATTTCTTATGCATATCTAAAAAATAGAGAAGAAGATAAAACAAATGAAATATAAATAAAAAAAATCTTTTTAATATTTAAATAAAAAATAAATAATTTATTGAATAATTAATTATTTCCTAAAATGGAATTCTTCTAAAAAATTTGTTCAAAATTTTAATTTTTAAAATTCTTTCGGTTTAAAATTGTATTAAATCTATACTTAAAATCCTTCAAAGAATTTTATTGCAATTTTTAAAAATAATTGAATTCATATAAGGAATTTTATTAGAATATGGAAAATAATTGAATTCCTTCGAAGAATTGCTCTAATTTTTTGAATATATGTAATTGACTTTTCTAATAGGTATAATTGTCATTAGTTTTTTTAAAGATTTTTTTTAGTTTTTCGAAAATAATGTAGTTTTTTAACTAATTTGAATTAAAAATTTTGAAAGTAATTGAATTAAACAAAGAATTTTTTTCAACTTTTTAAAATAATTTTTTCTGTTAATAATTATAATTAAAAATTTGATTATTGAATTTCATTAAAATTCTATTGAAAATAATTGAATCCTTTAATGAAATTTTATTGAAATTTTATTGAAAATAATTGAATATTTGCAAAGAATTTTATTAAAATTCTCTTGGAAATAATTGAATCCTTTCATGAAAAATTCGATTATTGAATTTCATTGCAATTTTTTGTAAATAATATTGAATCCTTTTTAAAATTGAATTCTTTTCAACAAATTTTATAAAATGAGTACTGAAAATAATTGAATTCTGGCAAAGAATTTTAGCAAAAAAAATTGAAAATAATTGAATTTCTTCGAAGAATTTTATTAATATTTTACAAAAGAAGTTAATTCTTTTAAAAAATTGTATTTAAACATTTTTTTGGAAATTATAAACAAAAATAATTCATTATGTAGTGAATAAATGAACTTTTTAAAGTTTGAATCTAAAATTAGTCGAAAATTAAAGTACCTAGTATGATTACATGTAGTATAGATAATTAGACATTAATAATAATTGAGATAAAATTCTATTTTTAAATTTTTTTTACCCCTTTTCGGTGCGTAGAACACGATAGGCTGTGATCATAAAAGAACCACGACTTCGACGATGTTTAATTGTTGTTGTATTACGATAGAGTCGAAGTTCGGCGCCAATTATCTGCTCTTCCGGTGGCACTTCCGAAACATCAAACCAGAGCCTCTTTCCTCTTTCGTGCCTCACTCCAGGTACATGATGATCTGCAATTTTTTATCACAAAACTATTTTAATTATCATTTTAAAACAAAATTCTATTTTTATTTTTATGAATTCCTCGAAAAATTTAATTATTTTTAAACATTGTTTGCAAGAATTCAATTACAATTCACGAATAATGAAATTCTTCGCTGAAATTAATATATTTTCAAAATCTACTATTTTAATAAAATTTCTCAAAAGAATTCAATTATTTAAACAAAATTTAATAAAATTCGTTGTAAAAATTCAATTATTTTCAAAAATAATAATATTCTTCACAAGATTTCAATTATTTAAAAAAAAAATGTATTAAAATTCGTTGCAAGACTTCAATTCTTTTCCAGAATAATAAAATTCCTCACAGGATTTCAATTTTTTTTTAATGGAATTTAAAGTAAATTCTTCGAAAAACATCATTAATTTAAAAAATTTTATTAAACTTCTTCGAAAGAAATAAATGAACAATTATCAATTATTTTTAAGAATGTTTGTAAAAGTTTCTAGAAAATTTTCAAATCCATTTGTTTACAATTATTCAATTTTACGAAATTTTAATTATTCATAAATTCTTCAATTAAATATTTAGAAAATAAAAACGTGAAATAATTTTTAAAAAATAATTGAATTAAATTTTTTCAAAATACAATTATTTCTAAAAATTCATTTCATAATACTTTTAATATTCAATTATTATCTAAAATTTTAACTGTAATTCATTTTTATAACAATTTTTATCAGAAAATTCTACGAGAATTCAATTATTATTTAAATACAAAAAAGAAAAAAAATATTGAATAAATGAATGTTTCTCAAAATTGAATTCTCGTAAAGAATTTTAGCAAAATATTTTTAAATAATTGAATTTTTTCGACGAATTTTCTTAAAAATTTCAAGAATAATTACATTTTTCGAGGAATTTAGTTAAAATTGTATTAAAAATAATTGAAATTCTATGATGAGTTTTATTATTCATGAAAATAATTGAATCTCTGTAAAAAATTGTATTATTTATGAAAATAATTGAATTATTGCGAAGAAATTTATAAAAAATTGAATAAATGAATTTTGAAGAAGAATTTTATTATTTTTAAAGATAATTGAAATTTTGACGAGAATATTTATAAATTTTGGAGCATAATTGAATTTCTGAAAAGCATTTGAAATTTTTCTAAAATGCAATGTTTTAGAGTTTTTTTTAACTATAAAATTCTTCTATATAAATCCATGATTTTTAATAATTAATTAAATATATATTTAAAAATTAAATAAAACTAATTATGAATCCTGCAAATTTAATTTTTTTCAGTTTTTTTTCATCCCTGAAATTCTCTGACCAATTTTACTTTCCCTGAATTTTCTGAATTTTCCTTGAATTCCCTGATTTTCCCGACCTGTGACAGCCCTGTTTAAATCAACTATTCTTTCTTTTTTCTTTTATAATCGAATAAAAAGTTGTTTCAATCAAATATTCTTTCTTTTATCTCTTCTGTTTTAATCAAATAAAAAGTAGTTTAAATCAACTGAAAAAAAATTGTTTAATAAAATTTTCATTATACAAAAATTATATTAAATGAAAATTTTCTTTCAACTCATACGAAAATTAGACAACCAGTGAGGATCAAATAAAAGAATTGTTTTCTAAAATTTCGATTCTATCGAAATTCTACTAAATGGGAATTTTACTAAATATAAAAATTTAGTTAAATAAGAAATTTAAATGTCAATGACATTTTTTGGAAATAAATGGACAACAGAAATCTCCGATATTGAAACCCAGATGGTCCTCGAAACTTTATATTTGATTTTTTTTTTCGCTGGAAGAGTTTGGCACGCGCTTGTTTGTCTTCTTGGGACATTGGAAGTATGGACAAATGTATGTGTACTCTCCATGATTCACGGATTTGCTTTTGAAGCAAAAGAAGAAGAAGGAATGAAACGGGAGAAAGACAAAGAAGAAAAAGATTATGAGAATACAACTCGAGGAAAAGAAAAAGAAGTGGAAGAAGAAGAAGTAGAAGTAGTAGAAGAAGAAGAAGCAGGAGAAGAAGAAGTAGAAGAAGAAGAAGAAGAGTCTTTGGGAGGTTGGGGGAGTTTTAAAGGACTCCAAAAAACAAAACCGTCTTGCTGCGATCGCTCCGGGATGGTCCCAAGCTATTCGGACCACCCCGAGTGGGGACCGCAGCTCGTTCGCTCGCGGCAATCAGGTGCCTTTGGAATGCGACCGTCCGAGAGAAACAAAACTAATTTTTATGCCCTTATCCACTTCGGAACATTAGGCATTATTTAGCCTCCCTGAGAAGCAAGTGGGGTCTTTTCTCCTTCGGTCCATATAGTGGACGCAAAAAAAAATGAGAGAGAAAGACAAGAACTGTTTTTTTTCTTCTTCTACTTCTTCTTCTTCTTCGAAAAAAAAGAAGAGAAATCATGTCGGCGATGAAAGTTCAGAAAGAAAAGAAGGAGACGATTTCGTGCTGCGAATCGATCTCCCTCCATTTAATCCCCTAGTTTATGCCTCGAAACGATCCACATTATATAAATCAATACGTGCCAACTTTAGGCACGCGAGTTATCTTCACTCATTCCTTCTTCTTCTCTCATCCACACACCAATATTTTCTCTCTGATCCGTAAATTTTTTTTTCTCCTTTTTTCAATCCAAACATTTTATTGACTTTTTTCTGTACTATTTTTTCCTCCTCCTGAAAATGGACAAAATCTTTTTTAATTTTTTCATATTTTTATTTTGCATTCATAAATTATAAAACTCTTGTTAAATTTTTTCATATTTTTCTTTTGCATTCATAAATTAAAAATCTTGTTAAATTTTTTCATATTTTTCTTTCGAATTATTATTTATAAATTAAAAACCAAAAGTTTAATTAAATAAAGATTCAACATAAAATTACAACTGAAAGCAAAATTAGCTTTAATAACCTCGTAAAATTTTTATTAACAATTTGTTGAAAAAAAGAAGAAACCAGCGAAATGAATTTATTTTTGTTTGCTTTTTGTTTCCTAATTTTTTTGATAATTTTTATTTTTCGTGTTTTGAATTTTAAAATGAAGGAAATTTGAAATTAATGCTTTAAAAATTAAAAAATACAAAAAATAAATTAAACCAAATTTTTTTCATATCAAAATACTCCTTCTATATTATTTCTTTTATAATTTTGAGTCTAAAATAATTGAATTCTTATTCTAAAAATTATTGAAAAAATCCAAATATTTCAAAATCATTAAATTTCTTGCGAAGAATGTTTATAATCAACATTTTTTTAAATAATTGAATTCTTAGGAAAAATTTTATTAAAATAATATTAAAAATATTTAAATTCTTATAAAGAGTTTTATCAAAATTTATGAAATTAAATGAAATTTTGGCGAAGAATTTTATAATTAACATTTTTTTTTAATAATCGAATTCTTTTCAGAAATTATATTACAATTTTTTTTAAATAATTCAATTCCCTCAGAAAAATATTATTATTTCTGAAAATAATTGAAATCTTGATAAGAATTTTATTAAAATTCTATTAAAAATAGAGAATTTTACCAAAAAATTTTCAAAATTAAACTCTGCTTAAACTTTGCCGGTTTATATAAATAAATAAATAAAATAATTTGATTTCTGTGAGGAATTTTATTATTTATTAAATTTTTTCAAGGAATTTAATTAAATTTTATTCTTATAAAGAATTTTATGGAAATTTTTGAAAATAATAAAAAATTTATTCAAATTCTGGCTAAGAATTTTATTAAAATTTTAATAAGATGGTTACTTAATTTTTTCGAGTAATTTTATTAAAATTGGATTGAAAATATTTCAATTCTCATAAAGAAATTAATCCAAAAATTTCAAAATAATTATAATTCTTTAAAATAATTAAATTCTTACTAAAACTTTTATAAATCAAAATAAATAATTGAAAACTTGCTAAGAATTTGATTAAAATTTTCAAAAATAATGGAATTTTTTCGAGTAATTTAATTAAAACTATTGAAAATATTTCAATTCTCATAAAAAGTTTAATCAAAATTTTAAAAAATAATTGAATTTCTACAAAGAATTGTAATAAATTTCTTTAAAATAATTAAATGCATGCGAAAAATTTTATAAATTATGAGAATAATTGAAATCTGGAAAAGAATTCAATTCAAATTTTCGAAAATAATTGAATGATTTCGATTGAGTTTGAAATGTTTTAAAGTAATTGAGTTTCTGTGAAGAATTTTATTAAAATTCTTTAAAACAATTGAATTCCTGTGAAAAATTTTATAAATTATGAAAATTATTGAAATCTTGCTAAGAATTGATTTAAAATATTCGAAAATAATTGAATTTTTTCGAGGATTTTAATTGAAATTGTATTGAAAATATTTCAATTCTCATAAAAAATTTTATGAAAAATTTTATTAAAATTAATTGAATTTTTGCGAAGAATTTTATCAAATTTTCAAATATAATTAAATTCTTTTGATAAATTTAATTGAAAATAATTGAATTTCCACGAAGAATTTTATTCCAGTTTTTTAAAACAATAAATAATAATATTTAGTAAATTAGTTAATAATAATTGAATTTTTTAAAGATTTGAATCTGAATTTATTCCAAAATTGAAATTAATATTTGAAAATAACAAATTTTTTCAATTTGCATAATAATAATAGTGAATAAAAATAATTATGAAACATTTGCTCCTAAAATAATAATTAATGTACAGGTATATTTTGTAACGAAACTATTTCGGAGTTAAAATTGCTTTTATAGAATATTCAGAAATGAAAAAAAAAAACTATGGAAATTTTAATCTAAGTGAATGAGACGAGTCTTTTGATTTTTGCAAAATTTTACGTCATAATAAATAAATATATATATTATCCCCGAGTGGTTTCGAGTCCGGGTCGTTCATTTTGCGTTTGGTTTCGGTCGTTTATCTCTCCCCCTCTCTCTACACTTCTACAAAAGGAAGATGAGTCAATATCTCTCTTTCTCGAGTCCCGAGGAGCCGCGAGCAGGTAAAAATGTCTCAACTTGGTGGCCCGCACTCACGTTCGACGTCTTCTTCTTCTTCTTTCTTTCTTTTCTCTTCTTTTCTTTTTTTCTGCCTTTAAACCGCGCCAGTGGGTGGAGATTGCGAACGAAGTCGAAAAGAGAGACGACAAAAAGAGAGGGGGAAGTCTAAAAAGATCCTAATGAAACATTTAAAAAGAGGAAAATTGCAAACGATTCATTTCTGTTGCTACTAAATTTTATGATTTACCAGAAAATGACAAGTTTCTCCCTTTTTTCTTCTCTGTGAATTTTTAATTAATTTAAAAACAAATTCTACTTTTTCAAAAATTAAGCGAAAAATGTAATTAATTACCTAATTATTCTGATTTTTATTTTATAATAAACAAATTTCAAATTTCCCTATTGTAAAATTTTGATTCTTGAGAAATTCCACTGAATGAAAATGTTGATGAATAAAAAAAAATTTTCTTTCGAATCCAAAAATTTGATTAAACCGAAAAACATTCTAAAGTTAAAATTTGATATCTATTAAATAATAAAATCTTGGAAGAATGAAAATTATAAAAAAATCACATAAAATTGAAATTAGAGTTTTAAAAAATCAATTTTTAAATTTTCGGTTCCTTTGCTTCTCTATATTCAACCATTTAATTTGCATGAAATTAAGTGTCAAAGAGCAATCAATAGAAGTATATCAATTAGTAGATCGTCTAAAGGCGATTTTATCGCAGAAAAAGGCAAAATCTGTAATAACTTCCAGGTGATTAATTGGAGGCACGCACACAACTCATCGCCATTAAGTCGAATCAAGAACCAAAATTTGCCCTCACGTAATTCGATTTTAATTTATACGATTTGTTTCTTTTCTTTTAATCGAAAATAAATGATGCAAAGAATCTTATATATATGCGGAATATCAAATAATTAAATTGAAAAAAAATTGATTTGAATCAAATATAATTTATTATCAATTTTTTTTTATAATTTAATATTAAGTTTAGGATTAATTCAAATTTACCAGAATTTAATATCAAATTTATTGACCCCAAAAGTAAATAAAAAAAATAATTAAAAAGATACTTCTTCAATTTTTTTTCAGTCTGAACTTAATTTCTAGGAAGAATTCAATTATTTTCATAAATAATAATTGTTCGGAAGAATTCAATTATTTTTATAAATAATAAAACTCTTTGCAGGAATTCAATTATTTTCAATACAATTTTAATGAAATTTCACGAAAGGAATCAATTATTTTTTTTAATTTTTAATGAAACTTTTCGAAAAAATTCAATTATTTTCTAAAATTTAAAAAATTTTCGAAACAATTCAATTATTTTTATAAGTAGTAAAATTCTTAACAAGAATTAAATTGTTTGTATAAATAATAAAATTCTTCTCTGGAATTCAATGATTTTCAATACAATTTGAATAATATGTATCTCAAGAATTCAATTATTTTGAATAAAATTGTAATGAAATTCAATAATCCCATTTTAAATTATAATCATTAACCGACACTATTTTCAATATTTCAATAAAATTCCCTGAATGAATTCAATTATTTTAAAAAATTGTAATAAAATTCTGAGAAAAATTTAATTATTTTCTATAATTTTTAATAAAATTCAGTAATCAAATGTTTCATTTCAATTACAAGAAAAAACGATTGATTTGAACTTGAAAGAAATCCATCATAAAATTCAATTACTTTCAAAATTAATTTCAATTAAAATTATTCAAGAAATTCCATTATTCTAAAAAAAATTCAGGGAAATTCTTGAAAAGAATTTAATTAGGATTTTAAATAATTTTAATAAAATTCTTCGCAACAATTCAATTATTTTCATATAAATAATAAAATTCTTCGAAGGAATTCAATTATTTTTATGAAATTTTTTGATAAAATTCTTTGCCAGAATTCAATGATTTCCAAAAATAATAAAATTATTCAAAGGAATTCAATTATTTTCAATTTTTTTGATAAAATTCTTTGCCAAAATTCAATGATTTTCAAAAATAATTAATTTATTCGAAGGAATTCAATTATTTCCAATTTTTTTGATAACATTCTTTGCCAGAATTCAATGATTTTCAAAAATAATAAAATTATTCGAAGGAATTCAATTATTTTCAATTTCTTTGATAAAATTCTTTGCCACAATTCAATGATTTCCAAAAATAATAAAAGTCTTCGAAGGAATTCAATTATTTTCAAAATTTGTAAATAAAATTCTTTATAAAAATTTAATTTTGATAAACATTCACTTATTCAATACATTATTTTTTTTTATTTAAATAATTGAATTTCCGTAAAAATTATTGCAGAAATTCAATTATTTGTAATAAAAGTCTTCGCAGAAATTCAATTATGTTTAAGAATTTTTTTATTTAATTCTTCGCAACAATTCAATTATTGTCATAATAAATAATGAAATTCTTCGAAGAATTTCAATTGTTTTTATAAAATTTTTTGATTAAATTCTTTGCAAGAATTCAATGATTTTCAATGCATTCATTTTAAAATTGAAAACATTTAAAATAAAATATTATTTAAAAAGTTAGAAAACAAATAAGCAAACAATAAAAGTAACTGCAAACAGATTACCGGAATACAATGATTAGGTATTAATATAGATGAAGATTATTTCAAATCTATTAAAAAATTTATATTTTTTAGGAATAATTTCTGATAATATTTAATTAAATATAATTTATTATTTTTCTCCATTTAATTCAATTCTATTGATATGGAATTAAATTAACATAAAAACTGAAATTAGTAATTTAGAAATTTAATTCTATTAGATTAATTAGATAAATTAATGAATTAATTAGATTAATTCTGTGATGGAAAGGCAAAATAGCACAACAGTCATTTTTAGCAATTTTGAGATATCACCGCAGTTTTTTATAAAATATATATGTAATGCTTTTCAAATAGTTTTATCATTACTAAATCAATTAAATGGAAATTAATGCAAAACAGATTGCATCTACTGTTTTCCGGATTATTTAATTGCGAATTATGAAAATCGAAAAGCAGTTGAAAAATTTATTTACTGTTTCTATGAAAATAAATTATTATTTACTTTTTTAGTTTCGAATCAAATATTAAGTCTAAATGCCAAGAATCATTTCGATATTGAAAGAAGTACTTCTTTTCAATATTAAGAGAATATTAAAACCCGCTTATCAAAAATGTATATAGTTGTGCTGTTACTCTTTTCCTCCACAGAATTATAATCAACAATTTGTACCCGTTTCTTAAAAACTTGAAACTGAAATTGACACCACTTTTGTAAATAGTTGTGGTTTACTTTTCTGTTCCTAACATATAGGGACAATAATAGAAAAAATTAAAAAATACGATTTTGTCACTCGATGGTCCTAAAAATTTTGAGATTAACGATGCAAACGATGACACTGAGTCAATAAATTAAACATCGGGATATGAAATAGAAATAAAAATAAGCAAAATAACTGACTGTGTGAGGCAAACGTCATGATGACATCGCTCTGGTCGATGGCCCTTAGATCCTGACCGGACAAGTTGAACTCGCCATGCTTTCCTTCTTGTTGCTTGACGTCGACCGGTTTCTCGTTCTCGTCCAGCTCGCCAAGTGCGTTCTTATAAATGTCCAAAAGAAACTTGGGAGCGGACCTCTTCACCTGAGGCGGCCGATGAATGACATGCTTCGGCCTATCGGGCAATCCAAGAAGATTCAATATTTCATGTTCAACTTCGCGTTTCTCTTGTTGCGAGACCAATCGATGTATCACAGTTTGATCGAAACCATTGTCAATATAAAGTCCACTCATTCTCTTGGCAGTGATTTCTGTCGTAACCATCCCCAATATCACGAGCCATGAACAATAAATTATTATCACCTCCTGGCGAAACATTGCCGCGGGGAATTTTCCACCACGCGCACACACCACCGCTTTGTCTCTTTTCGTCCTCGTCGTCGACCACTTCCTCTCCCTCAAGGTCCTGAGGGAGACAACATTCGGAAAAGGTTATTATTTTGCCGCACTAAAAAAAAAAGAACAAATTTTCTTTTTTATTTTATTATTATTTCTTCTAATATCATTGCATTTTTGTTTTTTTTCACCTACTTCTAATTTTTAAGAAAAAGAAAGGAGCGCACTTTCAGAAAAGGAAAATTAAAATACGAACTCGAATTACCTGTCGTTCGGTCACACAGACACTGTAACCACCGTTCACCACTGACGACGACTCGGTGACCACTGCACTGCACGGCTCTCCGCAATTTCAAGAGTCTGTTTGTCTGGCCCGATCGGCCGTTTGCCGTATCTACTTGTAAACCTCCTCTTGAGTTCATAATGTTCCTCATGAGACCTCCAGCTTCACTACACCGCCTCCCAGGCACGTACTTTCACCGTTTGGTTCCCATTCTGTATATATTCAACATTCACAAATTAATATTTAGAAGAAGAATAATTTTCATAATTCCATTTATAAAATCCTTTCCTTTTTATTTCGGAAATAAAGACAAAAAAATAATATATTTCTAACTTACAATTTTCTCTCGATGAATCCAGAGGTGAAATTTAATCCTTCTTCTTGTACTCCAATACCTTTTCGTTCCTCTTCCTAAATTTTTTGTTAACTTACCTTGCATTTTTCTTACTGAAAATCTAACAGGGTTGCCACAAAAATTTAATTTTTTATTTTTCCCTGATTTCCAAACAGAATTTTGACTTCTTCCCTAAGGAATATTCCAATTTGCTTTAAAAATGATTAGATCCAGACAAAATTTTGATTTCTTCCCTAAGGAATATTCTAATTTGCTTTAAAAATGATTAAATACTAAGAAAAATGTTCTATTTCATTTATTTACAATTTTCTTCAAAAGTAAAATTATTCAAAAACATCAATAACTTCATTTCTAAATAAATAATTAATCATTATTATTTTTTCATAGGAATTAAGATTTTCAAAACATTCAAATTCAAGCCTTTTGAAATTCAATAATTTATTTAATAATTAAATATGACCGAGAGATAAAATCATTTTTTCATTTTATTTCTATTTTATATTATAAGAATATTGTTATTTTAATTTTTTCAAAATTAATTTCACCATATTTAAATTCAATTACATATTATTTTCTAGAATTTTTAACTAAAACTCTACTTTAAATCAATTATTTTTAAGAATTTTTGAAAAAGTTCTTTGAGAATTTTTAAAAACATTTGTTTACAAAATTCAATTTTACGAAATGGCGATTATTCGGAAATCCTTCAATTAAAAATATATTAGAAAATAAATACTTCAAATTAATTTCCAAAAAAGAATGCAATTAAACTTTTTCAAAAAAATTAATTCTACAAAATAATTACTGAAAAGTATATGAAATATTGAGATTTTTAAAGATTTCAATTTGAAATCTTTTTCAAAATTCAATTATTTCTAAAAATTACTATTATTTTTATAACTTATCTATAATTCAATTATTTTTTTTAGAATTTTTAGCTAAACGACAATTTAATTCAATTCTTTCGAAGAATATTAATGTAATTTTTCGAATAATTGCATTTTCTAGAGAATTTATTTAAAATTGTATTAAAAATAAATAAATAATTGAAATCTTGTAAAAAAAATTTATTACATTTATAAAAATAATTTAATTCTTACATCAAATTTTATTAAAATTTAATTTAAAATTTTGCTCAGAATTTTTTTGCAATTTTTTAAAATAATTGAATTCATTTAAGGAATTTGATCATAATATTGAAAATAAGTGAAATCTTTCGAAGAATTTCTCTAATTTTTTAAATATTAATGATTTTTTAATAATTTTCATTAATAATTGTATATTATTAAATTTTATTAGATTCACTGATAAAAAATTAAATTTTTCTGAATAATTTTTTTAAGGTTTTTGAAAATAATTTAGTTTTTCAAATAATTTGAATTAAAAATTTTGAAAGTAAGTAATTGAATTGAACAAAGAATTTTTTCAATTTTTTAAAATAATCGATTCTGTTAATATAATTATAATTAAAATTGTGAGTATTGAATTTTATTAAAATTCTATTGAAAGTAATTCAATTCTTTCATAAAATTTTATTCAAATCTTATTCAAAATAATTGAATGCCTGTGAAGAGTTATTTATTAAAATTATTGAATATTTACAAAGAATTTTATTAAAATTCTAAAGGAAATAATTGAATCCTTTTATGAAATTTTATTAAAATTCTATTGACAATATTTGAATTCTGGCAAAGAATTTTGTTAAAAATTTGAAAATAATTGAATTCCTGTGAAATTTTTATTTTTTATGAAGATAATTGATATTTTTCGGGTAGAGTTTTATCAAAAATTTTTTTTTAATAATTGAATTCTTTTGGAAAATTTTATTAAAATAGTAAATATTGAAAATCATTGAATTGGGAAACATTTTTTGAAAATAATTGAAATTTTGCCAAGAATTTTATTATAATTTTTGAAAATAATTGAATTTTGGAGAAGAATTTTATTACAATTTTTTAAAATAATTGAACTACTGCAATTATTTGTAACTTCTTAAAAATTCAAATTTTTAGTATTTTTAACTAAAATTCTTCTATAAATTCATTGTTTTTAATAATAATTATGTAATTAAATATAATCTATATTAAAAAATTTAACTATTTTAATTATTAAGAAGAAATTATTGTCAGAAATAGAAAAAATTGAATGCTTTGTATTAGAATTCGTGGTAATTTAATAGTTTATCAGGCAATCAAAAATGACACAAAAATTCGAAATTTGCCTATAAATTCTAAAAATTTAATTTTTTCCAATACTTTTAATAAAATTCCCTAATTTTTTCTTGAATTCCCTGACCTGTGGTAAACTCTGAAATTTGACTCAGAATCAACTCTACATTTAATTTGTTTCAAATAAATTTAATTTTTGATTCAAACAAATTAAATTAAATTAATCAATTGAGAAATAGATAACAAATCAAAAATAGTGCAAAGTAATAACAGAAAAGACAATAGAAAAAAAAATTGATTTTCAACACTTGAAATCAAAATTACATTCAAATTACCAACTTATTTGAATTATGAGATTTTCTGAATTCATTCTTTGGGAGATTTTAATCTTTCGAAAAGAATCTCAAGAGAGAAATATGAGAAAGAAAGTCTCATAGGACAAGGTAATGACAAGGTCGAGCCGAAAATTAGTTACGCCAACACATAACTTCATTATATATGTATGTACGTTAAGATTGCTTGCGTTAAAATGTAGTATTTATAATTTACAACATTCGTGAATGGCAAAATATTTTTTTTATTCAATAAAAAAATTATAAATTTTTCCTTTTGAAAATTATAAAACTGTTTAAATATATACAATATACAAATCCGAAAAGAGAAATTTTAGACTAAATTGTACATAATATGGGGAAAACTTCAATAATAAAACTATTATAAATTATTAAAAATAAAATTAAGAAAATAATTTTTTTAGATAAGAAAAAATTACGGTCATTTTTAGGAGAATATTTAAAAACCCGTTTTTAAACGATTTTTAGTATTTTCTGCTTCTTCATGATTGAGAAATGAAGAGTTGAAAAAAATGGTTTTGAAATTTAAAGAAAAAAAATAGAAACTGGATAAAGTTAATATTTTTTTCCCTGGTTTATTAAATTATTTGATCCCTCGCGTGCCAAAGGAATACGTTCCTGATTCATAGAAATAGGAACGCCTCTGTCGAAGAGTAGGCGGGTACAGACCATTCTTCTTTAAAGTAGCGAGAAGGATCAGGCCTGTTGAACAATCCAGAAAGCAATGGGGGTCAAAGAAATAAAACATCCATTTAAAAAAAAAAATCGAAAAAAAACAATAAAAAACAACAAAAAAAAGGGGAAAAAAATTCAATAAAAATTTCTCCGTACTTCAGATTTGTTTCCTTCAATCAATATTCAAACGGAAAGATTCTATTAATTGTTTACACTATAAAAAATTGAAAACAAATATTATTTATGCACACTGGAAAAAAAATTTATTCGATGCAAATAATCGATTACTTGTCTATTATCAAATAAATATTTACTTGAATCAAATAATTTTTGTTTGAATCAATTAAATGGTATCTGCTTCAAATACTGAAATTATTGGTTCAAATAATTACTGATTCAAATTTATTTGATTTAAATAAAAATTATTTGATTCGAGTAAATATTTATTTGATAATAGATAAGATTACAGAAGAAAAAATCCAATCCAAAAAATCCAGACGGAAAAATCCAAGAAAAAAAGTCCAAAGTACAAAAAATGCAAAATAAAAATGTCCAAAGTGGCTTTAGTCGGTTAAAAATACAAAAAAGTCGAAAAAGTCGAAAAAGTCGTTTATTTAATTCAGTGTTGTCACAGAAAATTTAATTCATATTTTCCTGACCTTTAACTGATTTCTAAATTCAATTATTCAAAACTTGAAAAATTTTGTTAAATAAATATTTAAATACTTCTTATTTGCTTTTCCAAGGAAAATAAAATTTTAAATTATTTTTTACAAACTCATTTTTCAATCATAAATCAATTATTTTTAATAATTTTCCGAAAGTTCTTCATGAATTCAATTAATTAAATACAAAAATTCAATTTTTCATAATAATTGTGACTGTAATTGTAATCAAATTTTTAAAGAATTTTAATTATAAATAGGAACATGATTTTTCCAAAATGAATGAATTTTAAAAAATTAGAATGAAATAATTCTAAAAGATATGCTTTTTTCAAAAATATTTTAATATAATTTTTATAAAAGCTAATTTTCATTAATTTTCATTTTTAAATTTATACTTAAAGATTTTTCATTAAAATTTTGGAGAATTCAATTATTTTCAAAATATGCAATTAAAATTCTCAAAAAGTTGATTATCAATAATTGTAATAAAATACTTGAATAAAATTAATTATTTTCAATTAAATTTAACAAAATTTCAATTATTCAAATTCTGTTAAATTATATATATTTCGAAAATTTAATTAGAAAAATGATTCAAAAATAATTTTTGAAAAATTCATCTATAATTATTTTTCACACTGCAAAAATCAAAAATAATTTACATTTTATCCTAAAAATGTGGTATTTTGTTGCAATATTTGAAAGAAATGTCGAAAAAGTCGCAATTTTTGAAAATAAGTCGAAAGAAGTTGCATTTTTTAAAAAAAGTCATAAAAATTCGCAAAAAAGTCATAATATCCGAGACCTGCGAATATAATTGAATAAAAAAAGCTGCACGTAATGTAATAACAACAACAATTATTAATTAAATTAAATATAGAAAAATGTATTCAACAATAAAATTATAATGACGAGAAAAATCTACAACCCTGAATCGTCGCAGTTTGTGTCGTGTAATAAAAAAATATAATATACGAAATTCTACTGGGATGAGAGACAGGCGTACACCTCTCGCGTTTCGCAAAGAAGAATAAATAAAGAGTAAATAAAAGAAGCGCGTGTGTGTATATAGATGGGAGAGGTTAAATGAGAAATAAAAAAAAAAGAAAAAAAAACAGCAGAAAGAGAAGGAAAGTGCCCTGGAGGCAAATTCCAGATGAGCGGATCAGGAATCTTGGAAAGATTTGTGACTCTTGTATTTTCTCTCTCTCTCCCTCTCCCCTTAACTCTGACTAGAGAGAAAAATATTTCCTCCAATTTCCGGACTGCAAGACAAAAATTGAAAAGAAATTATTTACCGATTAATAAAAATAATAAATAAATTTGTTTATTTATTGTTTTTCGGGCTAAAACTATATTTTTGTTTCTTATTATTTATTAATAATTCCGCGCGCTAAACTGAAAAATGTGATGTTTAATTTATTATTATTCTGGAAAATTAAAAAATTTATTATTCAAATTTCAATTTTTGAATAATTTCAGATTCAAAATTTTTGAAATTTACTTTTTACGGAATTAATTATTAGGTATTGTTTTTTATTTTTAACAAATTTCATAGAATTCTTCACAAGAATTCAATTATTTTTATTGATAATTAATATTCTTCGGACGAATTCAATTATTTTTATAAATAATATAAAATACTTTGCGCAGGAATTCAATTATATTCAATATAAAATTTTAAAAAACTTCACGAAAGGATTCAATTATTTTCTAAAATATTAATAAATTCTTGGAAACAATTCAATTATTTATATAAATAGTAAATTATTTCGCAAGAATTACATTGTTTTCTATCAATAATAAAATTCTTCTCCAGAATTCAATTATTTTTAATACAATTTTAATAGAATTAAATAATCAAATTTTTAATTGTAATTCAATTATTTTCAAAAATTTCAATTAAAATTATTAGGAAAACTACAATATTTTCAAAAAACTTAAAGAAATTGTTTAAAAAAATTGAATTATTTACAAAAACTCTAATAACACGATTAATTTAGAAACTTGAAAGAAATTCTTCATTAAATTCAATTACTTTCAAAATTTTCAATTAAAATTATTAAATAAATTCCATTATTTTAAGAAAATTCAGAGAAATTCTTGAAAAGAATTCAATTACTTAGGATTTTCAAAAATTTAAATTAAATTTTTCCCAAGAATTGAATTAAAATAATAAAGATCTTCTCAGGAGTTCAATTATTTTTAATAATTTAATAAAATTCCTTCAATGAATTAAATTATTTTAAAAAAATTTGTAATATAATTCGGAGATAAATTTAATTCTTTTCTAAACACTTTAATAAAATTCTTCCAAGAATGCAAATACTTTTATAAATAATAAAGTCCTTCTCAGGAGTTGAATTATTTTCAACATTTTTGTATAATTCCTTGAATGAATTCAATTACATATTTTAAAAAATATTGTAATAAAATTTTTGAGAAGAATTTAATTATTTTTTAGAAAATATAAAAAAATTCAATAATCAAATATTTGATTTCAATTATTAACAAAAACGATTATTTTGAAAACTTGAAAGAAATTGTACATAAAATTCAATTACTTTCAAAAATTTTAATTGAAACTATTAAAAAATTCCATTATTTTAAAAAAATTGAATTAAATTCTTCAAAAGAATTTAATAAGGGATTTTCAAAATAAATTAAAAAATTTTTCGCCATAATTAAATTATTTTTTTATAAATATTAAAGTCCTTCTCATGAATTCAACTATTTTCAATATTTTAATAAAATTCCTTAAATGAATTTCATTAGGTATTTAAAAAAATTGTAATATAATTCTAAGAAAAATTTAATTATTTTTCTAGAAGTTTTAAACAAAATTCTTCCCAAGAATTCAATTATTTTTATAAATAATAAAGTTCTTCTCAGGAGAGTTTAATTATTTTTAATATTTTAATAAAATTTCTTGAATAAATTTAAAAATTGAATTAAAATAAAATTCTGAGAAAAATTTTGTTATTTTCTAAAAATTTTTAATAAAATTCTTCCCAAGAATTCAATTACTTTCGAAAATTGTAATAAAATTTTGAGAAGAATTTATTTTCTAGAAAATATAATAAAATTCAATAATCAAATGTTTAAATTTCAATTATTGACAAAGACGATTATTTTGAAACATTGAAAGAAATTGTTCGTAAAATTCAATTATTTTCAAAATTTTCAATTAAAAGTACCTATTAAAAAAATTCGGAGAAATTCTTGAAAAAGAATTAATCCTAATTCAATTAGGAGTTTCAAAAATTGTAATAAAATTCTTCGCAAGTTTGCAATTATTAACATAAATAATAAAATTCTTCGAATTAATTCAATTATTTTCATAAATAATAAAATTTTTCGAAGGAATTCAATTATTTTCATAAATAATAAAATTCTTCGTAGGAATTAAATTATTTTCAGTTATTTTTTTATAAAATTCTTTGCAAGAATTCAATGATTTTCAATACACTAATAATTAAAAATTGAAAACACTTGAAAAGAAAAATTACTAAAGTTCAAAATTATAAATAGTCACGTTATTTCGTTAATTTGAAAATTTCAGGGAATTGTAGAATTATATTTTCCACTAACAGAAATTGTAAATAATTTCTAGATTTTAATTGATAAAATTATTAATTATTTAGTAAAAGTTATTTAATTTTTTCCCCTGTGATTATCCGCGACAATATATTGTTTTGGGATAGAAGAAAAGAATTGTAGGAACACGTTGACCAGGTCGCGGTGCCAGGGAGTCTACTCATATCGTCACGAAGATATGTGGTTACCAGCTGTGTATGTTCCAAGAGCATTCCGGTAGACTGCTTGCCTCTGGGCCTCTCTTCGAACCCATTGGGGGGACCGGTTATACTTGACCCAGGCGGTTTAACGCTTTACGCTCTCAGGAGACACGCTACCGAAAGAAATACTCGTGTGTTGCTGCTTTGCCAAACGCGATTCATTCCACATAGTGTATCCCCGTCCTCATTCCCTGTATATTCCTCTTTCTCTTTCTCTCACTCTTATTCTCTTCTCTTCTTGCAGATACAGAGCTCTTTGCGCTTTTATTACTTCTCTCTCATTCCGCACGCATTATACAAAGAACTTAACGACCTCTTTGTTGATCCCACTGTTGGCTCCAGGGCCTCTCTTCTCTTCAAATTGTATTTATAAGAATCAGCCGGAAGGCGAGCACGCGATTCTTTTCTAGAAGAGAATCGCACGTGCGAGACACCACTTGATGATTTGCCTCGTTTTTCTTCTTCAATTAATCCTCACATTTACACTTGTCCTCTTGTTAAATGAAAAATCGAGTAGAGGATATTCTTTCCGAATCAAAGTAAATAACTTGTCAATTATTTCTAAAATTTATCTTAATAAATCAGAAAATCAGGCCATGAAACAAAATACCTACTCTATTTGGAAATAATTCAAAGTATCCTGAATAATAAATAAAAAATAAAATATTATTAAATTCCTTGACGGGAGGTTTCGGCTATATTTTTAACTATATCAAGAAAGTGATTCAAATTTTCCATAAAATTATTTTTATAGTAATTTTTTTGAGTGGAATTTAATGGTTAGAAAATATTTTGATAATTTTTAATTTTTTTTTCTTAAAAATTCATAGATTTTAAAATCCATCCGTAATTTTGTAGAAATTATGTTTTTGTATCCACAAAAAAATTGTCGAATGAAATACTTAATTTTTAGGTACTATTTTTGAAACATTCTTTTTTTTTGAAAAAAAACATTGCTATTCAATTTATTATATGGAAATTCATTTGTTTATTTTTCTAACTAATTTCAAATCATAATTTTTAAAAATAAAAAATACAAAAAATTACGATAAAATTGATTTGAAATTTCTTTTATATGGAAATTCGTTCATTTTTATTTTTCTAACTAATTTTAAATCATAATTTTTTAAAATATAAAAAAATTATTATTTGAAATTTATTACAAAAATAAACAAATGAATTTCCATATAAAAAATTGAATAACAATGTTTTTTTCAAAAACAAAAGGTTTCAAAAATAGTAAAAATCAATTTTTTCATTGAAAAATTTTTTTAAGGATACGAAAAATTTATTTCTACAAAATTACAAATGGATTTTAAAAAAAATCTATGAATTTAAAAAAAAAGTGAAAAATAAAAATTCAAAAAGGGTCAAAATATTTTCTGACCATTGAATTCCAGTCAAAAAAATTACTATAAAACTAATTTTATGGAAGATTTAAATTATTTTCTTGATATAATTATAGTTAAATATGCAGCCGAACCCACCCCTTAAAATTTTTCCAATTCTCTTGAAATAATTGTAAATATTCTAAATTATCTTCAATAATTTCAATAAATACATTACACAAAAAAATAAAAATTTTATAAACTTCGAGTTTGAATAAATGAAAATTTCAATAGATTCAAAATTTGGATAAATTGAAATTATAATTGTTTGATATTCAATTCAATAAAAATTTGGTTCTATTACATTTAAATTTCTAAACTTAATAATTGAAATGAAAATCAACTAAATAGTTAGAATAAATTAAAATTCGAATCGACTAGACAATTAATCAATTGAGATTTAATTTAATTAAAAGTTGGTTCGATTAAACTTTTATAAAATAGAAATTAAAATCAATTGAAATTAGAATAAATTTAAATTCGAATCTATTGGAATTAAAATTAGATTAATTGAAATTTTAATCGATTGAAATTCAAAATTTATCAAAGTTCCAATCGTTTGGAGTTTAAGTCGATTAAAATTTGGAGAAATTAAAGTTTAAATATAGTTTCTAGTTAGAAACTAATTTAATTTTGAAATGAATTGCAAGAAACAATAATTATTTCGACGAATAAATTTTAAATATTATATATTATATGAAAGGAAAAATAATAAGGAATTATTCAAGTTCCAATTACTAGAAATTTTTCATTTGTTAAAATAAACAACATTATTAGAAATTAGATGAATGGAAGTTAATTACTCAAATTAGTTATGAATTGAACAATTAAAATTTTTTAATTAATAAAAAATGTGGAAATTAAATTAAAATTTAGGTTAACTGAAATTAAAATTAATTGACGAATCAGATAAGACATTTCTGTCATTAAAATTATTCATCAAATTTGCAAATTTTTCAATTTTATTTTTTTTCAAACAATTCTTACAATTGTTTTAATAGAAAAACAACTATTTATGATGCACGTAGTCGTATATATTTATAACTTTTTTAATCTTAATTTAATTATTCTATTTTAATTTAATTTTAAATTTAATTTTTATAATTGTATTTTCATTACTTTAAGACTTAATTCTATTTTATATCTATTACTCCCAATTTGTTAATTTCCAGGACTAAATCCAGATTTTAAATAATTACTTATTAAAAATAATGAAACAATATTCACAAAAGTGAAAATATTTTTTCTTTCGTTTATAAACATTAGTGAAATTTATCACCAAAAGAAAACAAATCGAAATTTTGTTAAAAAATCGATCGATATTATATAAAAAAAAATTGGCGAGTTTTTTTTTTAAATATTAAACTAATTAATTATTTAACGTACTTGTCCATAAATTTTCGATGAAACTCACTTCGTAGGGAATCGTTGATAAACACCTCGTGCTTCTTTTTTGGTTCGGATCGTGCACAATTTTTAAATACAACATCGTCGTCCCATCGGCGTCTTACTTTTAAATCAGAGCGACTCGCTTGCGCTGAATAATTTAATAGTGGATTTCCCGAAAGAATATTTTCCATTCGTATTCTTTCTTCTTCTTGTCTCTTCTCCAATTCCTGGGAAAAAGAAAACATGTTTTTAAATCTATTTTTTCACTAAAATGTAAATAGAAATTTTTCTCTTTTTTAAATAAATATTTAATCATTATGAAAAATCGTAGGAATTAGGATTTTCAAAATATTCAAATTCAAATCTTTTGAAATTCAATAACTTTTAAGAGTATTTATTAGAAAACATGAAGATATCGAGCACTGCGAGTCTTCGACTCGGAGTGATCGCTGTCTTCGTCTTTTCTAATAATTTAAACTTCAATAAAATTAAAAAAAAAACAAATTATTTACAAAAATTTTAATAAAATCCTTCGCAAGAATTCAATTATTTTCATAAATAATAAAATTCTTCACAGGATTTCAATTATTTAAAAGAAATTTAATAAAATTCATTACAAGAATTCAATTATTTTCATAAATAATAATATTCTTCACAGGATTTCAATTATTAAAAAAAATGTAATAAAAGTTCGTTATAAGACTTCAATTATTTTCCTAAATAATAAAATTCTTCACAGGATTTTAATTATTTTTAATACAATTTTAAATAAATTCTTCGAAAAATATAATTATTTTCAAAAAAATTTATTAAAATTCTTCGAGAGACTTCAATTATCAATTATTTTTAATAATTTTTTGCAAAAGTTCCTTGAGAATTTTCGAATCCATTTGTTCAATTATTTTCTGGAATTTTTAACTAAAATTCTTCTCTAAATCAATTATTATTATTAATTCTACAGAATTTTTAGTTAAAAGTATGACTAATTCTTCTTCAAAACAATTATTTTTAATAATTTTTGGAAAAGTTTATAATTAATTTAAAAATTTTAACTGAAATTTATTTTTAAATCAATTTTTATTAGAAAATTCTAGGGGAATTTAATTATTTATATACAGAAATAAATAATTTATTGAATAATTGAATGTTTCCTAAAATTGAATTCTTTCGACGAATTTTAATAAAATTTTTAAGAATAATTACATTTTTTGAGGAATTCAATCAAATTTTTATGAAAAATAATTGAAATTAAAATAATTCGGAAATTCTTCAATTAAATATATATTAGAAAATAAAAATTTCAATTAATTTTTAAAAAATTCAATTAAACTTTTTTAAAAAAAATTAACTCTGCAGAATTGTCAGTTAAAAGTATGAAAAATTTAGATTTTCGAAGATTTTAATTTGAAACCTTTTAAAAATTCAATTATTTTTAAAATTCATGCTATAATTCTTTTAATATTCAATTATTATCTAAAATTATAACTGAAATTCATTTTTAAAACAATTTTTATTAGCAAATTCTACGAGAATTCAATTATTTAAATACAAAAATAAATTATTTATTAAATAAATAAATGTTTCTCAAAGTTGAAATCTCATAAAGAATTTTATCAATAAATTTTGAAATAATTGAATCTTTTCGACGAATTTTAATAAAATTTTCAAGAATAATTACATTTTTCGAGGAATTCGGTTAAAATTGTATTAAAAATAATTGAAATTCTATGATGAGTTTTATTATTTACGAAAATTTTTAAAGATAATTTAAATTTTGACGAGAATTTTTTTTAATTTTTGAACATAATAAATAATAATCTGCACTAATTATGAATTTTGCAAATTTTTTTTCCCAGTACTTTAATAAAAATCCCTGACTTTTTCCTGATTTCCCTGACCTGTGGTAACCCTGATATATATTTAAATAGAAATAAAATCTATATTAATAATCGTTGTATTACGGTAATTTGTACGCAGTTTGTTGTTGTTTGCTTTTTTGTTTCCTAATCTTATTCCTGAAAAAAACTTTGAAATCTTTTTATATATTATTATTGTGTAAATAATTGAATTTTGAATAAGTTAAAATTTGGAAATTTCTCGAATTTGATTTAATTTTGAAAGATTAAAATAATTTAAATTTAAGAAGGGGAAATCAATGTTTATGTAAAAATACCTTCTTTTCTTGATCTGCAGCACGTTCCCTTTGAATTCTTTGTAATTCTGCCATTAGAGCGGCTGTATCGTCATCGTCACTATCAGAATCGGATTCATTTTCATCTAGAGGATCGTCGGCGTCGAGACTTGCAGCCGGAACCTGATCAACTTTTTGTCTTTTATTCGAGGGCGCTGTACTTCTTTCAGGTTCAATCATACGACGATTCGACGTCTTATCCTTATTATCACGTTCTTTTTCACGATCTTCCAATTCTTTACGAAAATCTTTACTTCTAAGCTCAGAAGCTGAATTTTGTCCATGTTCTCTAGAATATTATTAAACTTTTTACAATTTCTTTATAGTCGAACTCGAAAATTTTCCAAAACAATGTAACGAACAATGAACAAAATTCCATTTTGAGGTTATGTTTTCACAAAAGATGCATGTGCAACAAATTATATCGTCTCTTTCCTTAAATGAAAAGTACAATCGAAAATTTCTCTTCTTCTCCGATAATACTTTTAGAAAAAGAAACTTCTTACCTGTATTTTAATTTTGTATGAGAAGGAAGATCACGAGAACTGTACTGTTTGGAGAGAGCACTCAAATCTTTTTCACCTCTACCCTGTCCTCCTCGTGCTGGATCAAAAGTTGGACGAGCTGCTGTCGTCATTTTTCAAAATTTATATAAATAAAATAATTATTTGACAATATTGCTAATGTGGCACTGTTTTTCAACACAAAATTGACACAAATCACGCACACAAAACGACAAGTTGACACAAGTTTCGTTGTTCTCTGAAAATCTGAATACAAAGTGAAGTTGGCCGTAAGATATTTCAAAATCAGAGCTGCCAACCCCTATTTTGTTCAATTTAAAAAATGAAAGATTATCAAATAAAATTATAAATTAATCAATAAATTATTAAAAATAATTATAATCCATATAAGATATATGAAGTATATATAAATAAATATAAATATAATATTTATATGCATAACAAATAAATTTATTACAACTTGAAGGATTTTTACATAACTCGCGCCGTTCGCGCCTTAATTTAAACATCATTTATATTCAATTCGATAATTTGAAAAAGATACCAATAACCGATTTTAATGAATTAAACAATGCCTGTTATTTGTTTATTTAATTATATTTAAAAAAAAATTTTTTTGTAGTTTGAAATCGAAAATAATAGCCTCTAAGTTCCTATTGGTTGAGAGGGTTGAGGAAAATACTAAAGTCACATTCACACTGTCAGTGATGACATGCGAACAAATAATGCTCAAATTTGATTGGCTTCCTTTTTTAACCGTTTTTGCAATATTCGTTCGTTTTTTTGTTTGTTTTGTTGCTCTCCTTGGCGTTAAAAGGAGAGATGAATAAACTATAAGTTCAACACGTTTTCTGGCTGGTTGGACAAGTTTTTTATTGCCCTCGGTCCTAAGTTCAGTTTGCTTTCAGTGTCAGTCTGTTACTCTGTTTATCAATATATATTTTTTACAAGTAGTTTATCACATAGAAATTAAAATTATTTCACTTCTTACTTAAAATTCGAATATTTTACTACGTGTCTCCAATAGAAAATTCCCTCACTTTACTGTTAATTATGTTAATATTATTCAATTGGGAACTTTAGAGATTTTACATACATAATAAACAAAACATATTTTTATATATATTCGTTAATATTTCCAAGTGAAAATATACAAAATAATTATTAATAAATACAAATTTTTAATACTGTCAAGAATAGAAGAAAGATTTTTTATAAAATTTTTACATATCTCGCTTACAATTCTTTCTCTGATGGCTCTGATGTAAAAAATATATAAATTAAGATTAATATTGCCAGTGACGACATTGGCACTCGCATATCTGTATAACGTCGTTGAGAAAAGGGGGAAAAAAATAAAATAAAAAGTCTGTGAATTCGGCACATAAGCAACCAGTTCAACAAAAAGGAACATCTACCGGTGAGTTTTTTTTTAAAAAAAAAATTTCAACTTCAACAAGTGGTATTTGTAGTTGCGCAGACTTAAAATAAGTAAAATTTTTTGAAATGATTAATTATTATTACTAGAAAATAATGTAATCACGTGACTTTTTGTAATAAATAAATGAATAAGTAGAGATAAATTTTAATGAGTCGAATAGAACATTTTGTTATTAGTTTTGACAGTTTTAGGTTAGAAATATGTATATATTTTGATTTGCATATATATATAGGAAATTTGATTAATGTTTTGGTGTAGATAAAAGATTCTTCATTACATTATAATAAGTATTTATCGTATTTATCAAGTATACTAATTATATTGTTAGAATTATTGCTTTATATATATTTACTACATATTGTACTATTGTTTCAGGATAAGATTATTTAACAAAATAATTCCGTTTCTTTTCTTTTTTTTGTAAATTCCTTGAAAGTGATTATATCACTCTGATAATTATTAATGTCATCACCAGTCTCTAGACATAATAAATTTTACATTAATTTTCAGTTACCGATAAATAAACTTTATGTGAAGTCTGCGAGACTAAAATATATTTTATGTTTTATCGAAAAATTTATTGAATCTTTTAATTTTAAACGTCGGTTTTATTAAAAAATAATCTTTTTACTTGAAGACAATATTATTATTATTAATATTTTTATTATTAATTTTGCTATTATTATTATTTTTATTATTATTTCTGTTATCTTTACTACTTTATTATTTTAGTGTTCCTTTTTTGTCTTCGTTTTGAAATTTTTTTTCTAAATAAAACTTAAGATATTGGAATAGAAATTTTTACACATTAAACCACGGTTATTGAAGACTTTTGAATAATTCACATACAAGGTCAAAGTTCAAAATAGACCATTGCTACAATTTTAATGATATGAGAAAATTTAAAATATATTTCTACTGCTAATTTTCTTTTATCGGCATTTGGCAATTTGCAACGATATTAATGTATTAATAATTTATTATTAACCGTAAAATAATTATATGTTTAATGAAAAATAATATATTAATAACAATATTCTAGTAAATGTATATAATATTATTATTAATATAAATTATAATTATTTATACATTTTAAAAGTAGAAAAAATTGTTCTTTTTTTATTCATCATCTTCTTCTTCTTCTGTTTGCAGATATTTTTCGCGAAAACTATTGTAAATTTTCATAGCCACTGATTCTTCATTGCAAGGACTTTCCGAATCTGTTTCGTCTTCTATTTCTTTATTTTTCGCTGGAGTCGAAGAATTTTTAGTTCCTTTTGTCGACGCTTTTTTGTCGTTGACATTCTGTTCTAATTTACAAATTAAAAAATACAAAAATTAATCTCAAAAATTTTAATGAAATTCTTCTTAGAAACAATTCATCATTTTTGTTTTAAAATTCTTTTGAAACAATTCAATTATTTTCAAAATATTATTGGGAAATTTTTCGCAAGAATTTAATTATTTTCAAAATATTTTTGGAAAATTTTTCGCAAGAATTCAATTATTATCAAAATATTATTGAAAAATTTTTCGCAAGAATTCAATTATTTCAATAATTAATGAAATTCAAGTATTCACTAAATATACTATTTTAATAAAAATTCTCAAAAGAATGCAATTATTTTTAAAATATTTAAAAAAATTCTTCGCGAAAATTCAAAATTTTTCGAAGGTAATCAATAAATTATTTTCTTATACAATTTTAATTAAATTATTCGAAATAATTTAATTATTCTTTTAAGTTTTCATAAAATTTCATATTTGATAAATTATTTATTTTTATTTTCAAAAATTATAAATGTTTCAAAGATAAAATTATTTTCTTGTATTTATACCTGTATTTTTTGATTTTTTGTCAGACATGGCTTGAAATTTTCTTCTTTTCTCAATGAATTTTCATTCTTTAATAATAATAATTACAAAATTTTACATTTTTTTTTAAAAAGCCACATATTGATTTTTATGAATTTGAAAAACAAAAATTAAACAAGGAAAATGACACTGACTGAAAGTAGCTTTAAACGAATGATTAAAAAACAATTAAAAGCGTTGAGAAGAATTTCAATTTCTAAAATATTTCTATAGGTACCTATAAAGTGAAAATAAAATTGTTCAGTAAAAAAAAAAAAATAAATTGCCGAAGTAATTTTTTATTTTTTATGAAAATAATTGAATTCTGGCGAAGAGTTTTATTACAATTTTTTGAAAATTCTAATTAAATTCTATTTGAAGAATTTCTTTGAATTTTTTTTTAAATAATGGAGTTTTTTTTTAATGATTTTAATTAAACATTTTGAAAATAATTGAATTTTATGAACAATTTCTTTCAAGTTTATAAATCTTGTTTGTTAATAATTGAAATTAAACATTTAATTATTGAATATTTTATTAAAATTTTAGAAAATTATTGAATTATTTTGAAAAATTTTATAATGAATTAAGAAAAAAAATTGAATTTTATCGTGAAATTTTTTTTGAAAATAATTGAATTTCTGCAAAGAATTTTAATATTTATAATAAATAATTGAATTGCTTCAAAGGATTTTATTATTTAGGAAAATAATTGAATTATAAATAAAATTAAATTGTTATTCAAAGGATTTAAAAAATTTTAGAAAATAATTGAATTCTTTTGAAATTTTTTATTACGAATTAAGAAAAAAATTAACTTCTTTTGTGAAATTTTTTTTGAAAATGAGTGAATTTTTGCAAAGATATTTTATAACGAATTAAGAAATAAATTTAATTCTTTCATGAAATTTTTTTCTTAAAATAATTAAATTTTTGAATAAAATTTTCATTTTTCTAAAAATAATTAAATTCTTACGAAGAATGTTATTATTTATGAATATAATTGGATTCTTGCGAAGAATTTTATTAAAATTTTTGAAAATTAATAAACAAAAATAATTAATTAGTGAATTAGTTAATAATTGAATTTTTTTAAAGTTTGAATCTGAAATTATTCAAAAATTTATATTTGAAAATAATATACATATAAATACAATAATATAATAAAAAATATTTAAATTTATCACTTGATCGTCAAGAAAATAATAGTAATAATAGCAGTGAAAATAATTATTATGATAATTTTATATTTACTGATTTCTCAACTTTTTAATTTGTAGTCATTTAAAGTAATTGTCATAACTGCAGATTTATTCAAAATAATTGAGATCAGTGATTATGACGTCACGAGAATAAAATAATAATGGAAATAAATATTTATTATCGACAACTAAATTAAATTTGAAAAATCCAATTCAATTAATTTATTATATTACTAGTATTTACGATTCAGTTAATTTTCTCTTAAAAAAAGAAAGAGAAAATTTCTATTTAGAACAAAAAAATTAAAAAATTGGAACTATGTTGAACGAAGTTCCCTCTAATCACGATTCCACGTCATATACAAAGCAAAATTATTATTGCAACTAGAAAATGCGCAATGACTTGCTCATTTATTCTCCTTGAACGTCAAATTTTCTCTCTCTCTCTCTCTTTGGAAAGACTCACGCGGTGGCAAAACGGAATATTCGTAATAAAACTTGTTGGTACCGCACACGTTTCTTCGGTCAACTGACAAGTTTCTTTTCTTATATGACAGTAATGCATTAAACGTCGCGCAGAACGCGTGGTGTTTTTTTTTTTCTAAATAAAAATTTCGTCCGCAAAATTTTTAATTTTCCCTCAAGAAAAATAAAAAAATATTTGTTATTCATTTATTTTTTACGAACATGTACTCTATTAAATATTTTTAATAAAAACTAAAAACTAGATAATCAAAAAAATTGAAAGTATTAATTAAACATTAATTACAAATTATAAGTTATATTTAAATAAATATCAATATTTGTAAATTGATAAATACTAACATTAAATAGTTAATCGACAAATAACTTATACAATTTAAATATTAAAAAGACTTTAGTTAATAATTTTAACTTTCTAGTTGATAATAACAAGTTAATAATAAATAATAATTATTTCAAAACAACAACAACAACAATAAAAATTGATAAATTCGTGTTTATTGTGATAATATTTTTTTTTACAATTTATACGAAAAAAAATAAAGAATTTTGTCAAGTCAATTTATTTACTTTGTGCATAAAAAGAAAATTGTGAATTAAAAAAAATAATGGATTTACCGGTGAGTTTTAATTTTTGAATTAAATATTTTATTTTCTATTCTCTCTCTCTCTTTGGTGTTTATTTTTATTAAATTTAAAATTAGAGAAAGTGTTAAATTCATCATTATTACTTCAGCATCATTCTGTTAATTTATCTTTTACTTCCTCGTTCCTTAAATCGAAAGTCGTTTTATAATATTTAAAATAATGTGACAAAAATAATTCTTGTCTAAAAAAAATAATTTTAGTCAAAAACTTATTTTATACAAAAAAAATTATATCAGTCCCTAAAGTTCTGAAAACAAAATTTATTTGTTTCTTCTTCAGAGTAAAATTTTATTGCAATAATTTTGTGCCTTGTATAAAAAAATTAATTAAAAAGTTTCTAAATGTTGAATTTAAATTTAAAAATTTTATTTTATTTTATTTTTTTTTTTTTTCATTTTTATTTTCAGTAATTACAAAAAATCTTTATAATAAAAAATATTTCAAAACTTGTAGATAATTCTTAATTATTTTTATTATTATATCTTTTAAAGTTATTATTTTAAATATATTATTATTTTTTTGTAAATAATAATAATAATAATACTGCTACATAAAAATAACAATTTGAACTTAAAGGAGTCTTATAATTATGACTGATAAGGCCAATTTCACAACTTGCAATATATGTAATATTTTTTTAAGTTTCATTTTACACACAGAAAAAAATCGAATTTAAAAAATGAATTTCTAAAAATAGATTTTATTTATTTTTTCTCAAATAAAGCTGAATGTCAGTATAAGTTTGAAGGCTGGCTTAATAAATATAAAACAGTTTTTATGGTATTTGTATAC